ATCTCTAGCCAGACTCCTTCAGAGAATTTGTCATTTAATTCTTCTCCTATACTTGCTGTCAAATCTCCCAAACAGAAGAGTTCAGATAAGAATGATTGAGTTGTCTTATTGTAGTGCAAAAAAATTTCAGGAGATCAGAATTTCAACTTTAAGATCATATATTATTTCAATATTGGGGGGAAGTTTGCTGAATTCTGACCAAGGCAACCTTATTTTAAAGTCTGAGGGGAGTGGTAACTTCTGAAGAGGAGTGGAATCCCTTTATTTAACCATGAGAATGACTCAAAGTAGAAGGTTTCCTAAATGTCTTCTTTTAATATTTTTTCAGGAAAGTGAACAATATAATTAGAATGAATAAACAGGACTTGTTTTCTACTCCAGAAGTCCCCAACCTTTCCAGATTGGCAGATTGGAGGGGACAGCTGGTAGAGAGGGGGATGGTTTCATGTGTGTGCCATTTCCACCAATGCAGCTTTGTGCATGCTCACGCTCGCCCACTGTTTGGGCAGCCCGGTTACCAATGGGCCACAGTCTGGCTCTGGGCTGTGGACCAGGGGTTGTGAATTTTTCTTCTACTCATTGTTGGCTTATAAAATGATGTTTATAATCTGTGTACTGTACTAGAAGAGGCTGAAGAATTCATTGAAAGTCATCTCTGGAAACAAGATAAATCTAGAAAATCAATCTGTGCATTTCTAACTCAACAGTTCCATGTGTTTAGATTGAATCCTAAATATAGTCTATCTTATTTAACAAAAAGAATTATTTTTTAAAAAATAAGTACATGACCACAGTTATGGTTAAATTAGCAAATACGTATTTTAAAATTTTGCTCAGAAGCACTTTGTATAATGGAAATAATTGCTGAAAAGGATTTGAGTTTATACTGCTATAATACAGTAACTCTGTGACTTGAATAAACTGAAGATTGTTCATTGAGTTTAGCAATGATGACGTATAATCTCAGGTCATGCTTGCAAAGCAGAGGGAAGGTCACCTGCAATACCAAGAGGAATCCCACGGCTGCTTTGGGATTTCTGAAATAAATATTGTAGTCCATTGCAGACTTCAAGGGGTAAGGAAGGTGAATTTGTGTCTCAGAAATGTGATCATTTCAAAATGTAAACTGGGTTGTTTTTCCTCTACCTGCATTTTCAAGTATGGAATTATAATTTAAAATAAAATGGTGTGTTTGCTGTCATCCCAGCCACACTATTAAGTGACCTTATATTTAAATAGCATGATACTATGATACTTGATACGTTCATGTAATTTCTTGGATAATTCAGTTTTAAAATTAAAAACTAAGAAACTGCCCCTCAGAGATGTTCTATTATAAAGTATAAATCAGTAAAAATCTGATGATATCTTTCAAAAATTAACTTTCAGCAAATTGTTAAGATATAGTCGATGTAACTATGATTAAAAATTCTAAATCTATCAAGAGTTGGTGATACTCTCTGAAGCTGCCTTTCCGAATTTGTGCCTTCTAGATGTGCTTGACTGCAGCATTTATAATTCCTAACCAGCAGGACTTTTGTGTTGGGTAAAGATTATAGGAATTTAGAACCATAATATTTAGATATAGGCAGGCTGGGAAGGCTAATTGAAAAAGTGACTTTCTTAAAAATTAAATATTGTCATTGTGAAAAGAAAAATCAGTGCTAATTATCTCTACAGTACCAGTGTTTTCTATTCAGAAAGCCTTATTGTGGCTAGTATTGGAGAAATAATGTTGAATTTTTGATCATTTTTAAAAAAAATCTTGACCAAAATATATTCACTGATAATATAATAACTTGATGCTTATAAAATGAACATCAGATATGCTTAAAATACAATGTTAGTATTTCTATACTACTGTAAGTGATGATTGAGTTGTGATGATGAGGATCATTTTAATGATTCTTATTCTTACTAGATAATTAACTGCTGCTGCAGCTTTTGTAGTAGGCTGTGACTGAAGTTACTGAACATTAATTTACATGTGGAATAGACACTTGGAAAGTTTGGAATCTGCCTTCTCTCTACATACTAATAAACACGACCGAAGTTATTCTGAGGGCGCTTTGGGTGCAGATCAAATTGTGGGTAAAGTAGACCACCAAGGGAACCTGATGGCTATGAGTGGCCATTGTCTTACCTATTGTTGAATGTAACCCTTAATATCACTGGGAGAGATCATGTCTCCCAACAGTGTATGTAATATTACATCTTTTTGGATGTGTGCACGTTGAAGTTAATAGTACTATGAATCTCTTTGACTTATACCTTTTGATACTTCTTTCTGTTCTACAGTATGTTATTTGCCCTAAGTATTGCACTTACTGCTTGGATATGTTTTTTGTGTGTGTTCCCAATGTTACAATAATTTTGTAATAAAAATGAAATAGGGAGCATATTTACTGGAGAATTGGAACATGTTATTTCTCTTGAATAATAATAGACCTGTTTACTAGGGAATCAATTACAAATATACTGTATTAGATTTTTCATTAGAAAGTGAAAAAGGATTCGGTTGTCTTTCATAATAAGCTATCATACCAGGGAAAACAAGAAGATGAAAGCCTTGGGCAACAACAAAGATGTAATACTCAGTATAGACTTTTATTATGAAAGGGTAATGAAAACTATTTCATTAAGAATAGCAACAAACAGGCAAGCTTTTACAAAACAGGGGAAAGAATTGGTTTTAAGCAAACAAGAGAAATAAAATACTTTAAAATGAAATTACTCCTGAGTAACCATGGAGATTGTAGAGGCAACTGAGGGTGATGAGTAATGGAAAAAATATAGTGTTACTCTTTGCAAATGTTATTTTAAAATGATAATTTGTAGAGGAAAAAGATATACAAGAACTAATTGCAATAGATGGTGATTTACAAATGGCAAGCGGCCAAACAGGAAATCACTGATGTAATACCTACTGAACTGTTTAAATTTATAGTCTTCCAAAGTTTTAATATACTAACCGCTCTATGTCAACTAATATTGACATGAAATTGATGTAGATTAGAAAGCAGTTGATGTAAAATCCATGTACTGTGATGAGCCTGCTCTCCATCATTGCATTTTGCTGGTGCTTGTTGCATACCGGCAAATGCCAGAGAAAAGCTGTTTGTAGTTAACATTTTTTGATAGAGATCGATTCTCACAAGAGTCATAGAAGGTGGAGTGCAGGTGCTCTGGAACTGTTATCGGCCTGAGATGAGGAACTTTTAAATGCCACTTGAAAGGATTTCAGGGAAAAGAAGCTTGGAGAGAAGCTGCAAGTGAAGCTGGTGACTGGCAGCTAAATGCCAAAATGTATTCTGCCCACCTAAACATAATAAAGGTAATTCCTTCTCCACAGGAAAATTTTCTATCATGGCACATAGGGAATAGGTATATGTAGTACCCTGTTTCTTTGTGTTCCACAATATGGTTAAAAATATTTTAGCATGCTTAGGTGGAATGTCTGGCCTACAAATATTGTCAATAAATACAATTTTTTAAAAAAAAAAATTCAGAAGGCAACTATTTATTAAGATTTTTGCTTATATAGTTCAGGGGTCAGGATGAGTAGTAAAGAGGCAGATCTTGCCCCTCTGCCTCTGTTGACATGGCTGATAGGCCTGCAGGCCAAGGAGCATGGCAGCCATTGAATGGCATGGTTTCAACCAGGAAGCCACCAATAGGCCTGGGTCGCCTTCCCATTCTTCTTAGTTCATGAGCTACACAAATACAGGCAGTGGTCTATATATTTAATTTATGGGGTGTAGTCTGCCAACACTGTGTAGATCACACTAGCCTTTGAAATCTGTTAAAGCTATTGGGTGTGCCAGTATACCTGTCTACATTCCTGAGAACCTTTATAATAAGCTACTTTAAAGAAAAGAATTTTGTGGCGGGGGGTAGGGGAGAAGGATATCAAAAGAGATTGTTGGAGTGATGTAAATTCTTATTCCGAAATTCTACTACATAAAAGAATCATTTTTAATAACCACTTTTTAGTAGAATATTAGGAAAATTGAAAGAACCATTAATGGAAGTAAAAATAGAAAATGTAATCTCAGAGCTAAATTTTAAAGTGATGTATTATTTATGTAAAATAAGCTGTATATTTTATAGTCTTAAAATTGATGAAGAATTGTTAAAATAGTGTTTTCAATTGCAGCCACTTGAAGATGTGTGGGCTTCGATTTCCAGAATTCCCCAGCAGTTCTGTAGCAAGTTAAGGCAATAGAAGCTTTATTTAGGTTTAAAAATGGGTATGTATTCGAAAATAATAGATTAATTCTGAGGAGGGAAGGCAATAACAAAATTAAGACTATGAAGACCATGACCAGTTTTCACTGGTGTACCATTTCAAGCCTTTTTCTATTGGGAGGCCTTGACAAAAGTGACTGAAGCATTCATCACATCAGGTGTAGCACACTTTACGTGGGGCAGCTTTCGGAACAATCTTGAAGTTGTAATGTGTCCATAATATGAAACTTGTCTACCTACTGGTAGGTCCACTTTAGGAGACTTGACAACTCTGCTACATTTGCTTTTACTTACTGCTGGTTTGGTTCTAGATCGAATTCAACATACTGGTCATTTAAGCAATGGCAGGTGAAGGCAGGCAGCAATGGCAAGCGAGCGGACAAGGTGAGTGACAGGATAAGCAGGCAGGGCAAGCGGTAAGCAGGTGGGCGGTGGGTGACTGGCGACTGGGCAGGGCCAGCCAGAGGTGGTATTTGCTGGTTCTCCAAACTAGTTAAAATTTCAACTACCAGCTCACCCCAACCGGTCCAAACTGAATACCACATCTGGGTCATTACCTTTAAAATCAGGGGTGTCAAACTCAATTTCATTGAGGGCCACATCAGGTTTGTATTTGACCTCAGGGGGCTGGGTGGGCATGGCCAGCATAACGTCACTTGTGTTGGGGGGCACCTGTGGTGGCCCAAGCGCTCTGCCAGCAAAAATGGAGCTGGGGGGGGGGGGGGGAAGGATGGCCCTGTTTAAAATCCTACAGTCACTCCAGAATAATTATTGGGACTATCTTTCCTGACCAATATCATACAATAAAGACCAAGCCCTAATATCATGAGCTGGGGACCCTCACATCCCCTTTCCTAGAAGCTAGATATTATCTATGTCTGTCCCCACAACTGAAATATATTGCTTTCCTGGTATATAGGGTGTCTCAATCCTCTTGGCCTTAAAAAAACACTTAAAAGCTATTTATTTCATAAGACATTTGGTCTGATTAGTTTGGGTTGAACACTTTTTAAAAAAGATGTTATGTTACTGAGCAAAAAAAATCAATTTTAACATGTTGAAAACAAATTGATACTAATATTTTTCACTATCATATAAGCACAATTATTGACAGAATTCTATGGTGCAACTCATGAGATTTTACGTATATTCACTGTAGTTGCTTAGATCATTTGGCTACTTCTGTGCCCATTTTTTTCCTCCAAAGATCAGTAGGCTATAGCATTTGCCGGCTCATATATTTTCACGGGCCATATTCTTTCAGTAAAATTCAAAAGATCAAAATATTTTTGGCATTTTATATATTAATTATAGACTTTTTGAATAGCAACACTGAGCAATTTCTACTCATTAAAGAGAACTCTAATTCACATCAATTTATTAACATTGTTTAAAACATTCCAGTACAACTACGATGAGATTTAAAAATGCACATTTATTTGATTTTATTAAATTTACTATGGTTGCAATAATTTTTAAAAACAAAATGATTTCCAATTAAAAAAATGTACTGTGACCACATAATTTCTTATTTTATACAGTTATACAAATATTCTAAATACACATTTTCTTATGATGGCAAATAAATTTTAACTGTACAGTACATAATGAAATATTTAAGCATATTTAGAAGCAATAGAAATGTCTATACAAAAGCAAAAATGGATTTTTTTATTTAAAGTATTGCAACAGTCCCACAGTTTTATAACAAAAATGTCTTTGCACAGTTCCTCACAATGCCCCCATTAATAGCCAAAGCAAGACAGTGATTTTAGAAAATGTTTCAAAAATGCTACACTTACTACTGTTTGCAGTTTCATCAAAACAACAAATCTACTTGGAATCAAGCAAAATGAAGAAATATCCCAATCAGCTTTAGAATTGTATAAAATCCATTGCACATTATTTTAGTCAGTATTTGAAAAGTAAAAAAGTGTATTTACAAAATATTTTGCAGTCAAAATTTAAAGTTGATGAGATATCAGTAACACATATCCTGATAGTTCAATAAAACACAACAGCAGTTTTCCAAAGATTTTCAGGATTACTACCGAAATCCACAGAATTTTTTTAAAATTCTGAAATGGGTTTACAAGATGTTAACACAGTTATTTCAACATTTGTATTATAAACAATGTTAAAAAGGCAAAAGAATGGCATCATTAAAAATGAATTATTAACAGATTATCAAATGTATTTTTAATTTACTTAGAACAAACATTCATTATTTTTAGAACACATCAACAATGTATGAAAATCCTGGACAAGATGAAATTGAAGGACCATGCATGACAATTTTAGAGTGGTAAACATTGAAAACAAAAATAGCACCTGGAATCCTGTAACATTAGGTAATCTAAAACTGATCAAGTAGTTGACGAAGATATGGTGCCTTAGATAATTCTCGGTTCACTCTGGAGACTTTGAAAAGCACCGGACAGTTCAATGAAATACATGGTATCTGTCGATCAAAGCAACTTGTACAATTCTTGCATACCTAGAGGAATATATAATTAATTAGTGCAAAATACACTTAACTGGAAAAAAATACATAATCAGTAATTATGCACAAGAGCAGATAGAAAAGAAGACATTTAGATTTTCTCAGCCTCTCACTGAGAAAATAAATAATAATAAATAAACGTAGGCTGGGAAAATTAAGATGGCCGCAGGAACATCTCAAATGGTCATAAAACAGGTCAAATGTGGTTATCAAAGAATAATTAAGAAAACATATTAAAATGCTGATAATCTTTGAAATTGTAAAACCTTTTAAGTTACTAGTTCTTGATTTTGGAAAAAGCTTGTAAGTATTGCATGCCTGGGACAGGAGGGCGACTACACTGTCTATTACTGCTCTACGGATTGATACAAGGTGGTTCTGATTTCATGCATGAAAACACATGATTTCCACCAAATCCTTACCAACTCATTTCAAGCCTATAGTCTTCCACAGACCCTGAAGATCTGTGGATCCTGAAAATCAGAATGAAACAGTGTTGAAGACTGCTTAAGGATGCATAATGATAAATGGAATATATGGTCTGGTCTATTGGATGAATGCCATTACTTTAAAAATTAAAACAAAATTTATACTGGACTCAACCATTCGTTAAGTCTATAATTTCCAAAATTATGACATAGGTTTGTTTACTGAAAAATAGTGAATGCCTCAAATGCTTGTCAGTATCCAGACGACTATGAACTGATTCGACCTCACTGGATAAATCAAACCTTTTTATATGCTAAAAGATAGTTTCCCTAGCCCAAATCTTAATGCTTACATTAATATATTACAGGTAGTCCTTGCTTTAGACCACAATTGAATCCAACATTTCCATTGCCAAGGAAGGCAGTTGTTAGGTGAGTTTTGCTCCATTTTATGATCTTTTTGCTAATGTTAAATGAATCACTGCAGTTGTTAAGTGAATCATGCGATCATTAAGTGAATCTGGCCTCCTCCACTGACTGACTGTCAGAAACTGGCTGGGAAAGGTTACAAATGGTGATCACATGACCCTGAGATAGACAGACAGTGCAACTGCTTTAAGTATATGCCAATTGCCAAGTGCCCCAGTGTCAGGTGACTTGGGTTACTGCAATGGTTGTAAGTATGAAACGCAGTCGTAAGTCATTTTTTTCATTACAGTTGTAACTTTGAATAGTCACTAAACAAATGGTTGTAAGTTGAAGACTATCTGTAATGTTTTCTTGGCAACAGTCATCTGGGATTTTTTTCCCCCTCTATCCAGTCTAACTTTCAGCCTTGGAGCTTCTATGTAGCAACCTAAGATGTTGCAATGAGAGAGGAAATTGGGAAAAATGGAATGGAAAAAAATCTGCCATTGTTTTCCTTTGAAGTGACATATTATTAATCTTACCAATCCGGACCTAATTACAGCATAATCAGGAGCAGTGAACAGACATCCACTAGTGTACATTATGTTCTCATATTTGGTACAGAACAACATAGTTGGGAAAGATATATGCAAAACACATGATTCTGACAAATGTGATTTTTAGAAAGCATTCACTATGGTGTAAGCTGGGCACTTTGAAATTCGTATTAAAGAAAAGTGCACCGAACGATTATGGATTCACTTCCAGTTTATTTTTTAAAGTCATAGGAAACCAGCTTTTAGTTAAAATTCTTCTAAGCCTTCCCCTCTTAGAGCAAAAGTAAAAAAAAACCTGACAGAATGGAGTAAGGAATACATAAGCATTGATATAGACCACATTTAGATTGATCAGCACATCCCAGCTTCTGACTGAATGTATAATGCCTCTTGCTTCTTTAAATGCCCTTTGGATAGAAATTAAGAGCAAATTAAAAAAGAAGCTGTTTCTGTAATAAAGTGCCATGAAGAGCATAATGATTTCTACATACTTTCTCACAATCCTATGTAATTAGTGTCCTCGGAAGGTGGAGGGTTTGATATCACAAAAATGCTATGCTTTTTGTATCCATCAGATATTGTGACACAATTACATAATATCATCTGAGGGACAACATAATTTTACATGTTGACACTTCATCATTATCACTGTTTACTGCAGATATTACAGTACAAATCAGAAAAATGTGAAATATTAAAAAAAATCTTATTCTCCAAATTCTCTTTGAGTAAAGGCACTAAACAAAGCTCCCAGTCTTTCCACATAAAAAGTACACAAAAAGTATGTTAATTTTTCTTCTTACTCTTTCAGAAAGTATTTAAAATATTTTAAAGAGTTCCAGCCTCCCTACTACATGCATTAAGAAAACTGTCTAAAAGTTACAATTAGCAAATAACAGTTCATCTGAGTATCTGCTCAATCTTTCAGAACTGCTTTTGTGAAAATTCATAAATTATTTGTTTCAAGTAATGATTGAGTTACAAAAAGTTAAACAGACTATTATTCTCTACCAGTTTTATTCCCACCTTGGTTATTTGTTCATGTTTACGCTCCAACTCTCTGATTTCCTGATTTAGCATTACAATAACATGCTGCGGTTGGCTCCTACATTTATTGCAGATTCCATGCTGAGTCAATTCATCACACACAGGACAATGTAGGGTGGTGAAATATTGGGAGATTGTTCCTTTTCGGCATTCTTGCTCAGTGCGAGACATTGTGGACACTTTCTGGATCTATATGAAACATCAAACAAAGTAACATATATTTAGTAGGATACATATGTACAAAAGCTTTCCCTCTGTCTTCCTCTTCATTTATATTTTCCTTGCTGTCTTGTCGTTCCATGTTCCTGAATACATATCAAGAACTGTTAGCAAAGGTCAACCAATTTATTTTATCTTTGAGAGCTTGAGTGTTGCAGTTTTGAAGATAAGGTTTGATTAAAGGAAGAGCCAATGAAATCTCCAAGGTGTTAAATTAAATTAAATCAAAGAGCCACAGGAATAATATTTCAAAGGTTTATTGTGGTGGAAGCTTTGAGGATGGTGATGTTCCCTAAAAGGTCCATCATTTCTGCCATTAACATAATGAAACAGCTGCTAGAAATTTGACGCTTCTTTAATACAGCTAGTGTTGAATAATTCAATACTAGCTGTATTGAAAAAAAAATCTTTAAAAAGCTCTGACATCTGAAGCAGTGAAAGAGGAAGTAAAGAAGCTGAATAATTCAGCTCAAATCTTGCCACTCTTAAATATCAAATTCAATCTGAACTCCAGGTAATTTGATACATTTTAAAATTGGCATATTGTAAAGATACCTCATTTTTTCCATTTCCACTGTTACAATCATGCATTATAGTTACTACTTCACTTACTCACCCTTGGTAATTCATTATACCAACTGAAAACATCTATGCCAATGAGAGATAAGATTCTAGCCAGGGGAGGAAGAATCTGCTTGGTTATGTAGTAGGTTGCATTCAGCCTCAGATTTGGGTCTTGTAAAACATCAATGGGCCGTCTAACCAACTGTATGAGAGGCAATCCTGGCATGCCATAAACAATGACGTACGGAACTCTTTCACCAACACGTGGTTCAGACCGTCGGTCGTAAGCAAGCATCTTTCTGTGGTGGGATACAACATTAGGTGTCAAAATCCATCTGCTGCACATGGAAGTGACAAAAACCCAAAATTCAAAGAAACTTAAATTTTATCTGACAGTTTATATTTATTTCTTGCATTTCCATTACATCACTTCTACCAATTGCTACTATGCAAAATATACAAATGAAAGAACCATACTTTAAAACAGGGGTATGAAACTGGATTTTCTCAAAAGCCGGATCAGCATTGTAGCTCTCCTCTGCAGGCTGACCAAGGGAAGGGAGACAGGACAGTCGCCTCCTGCAGCACCCTGTCAGCCAAAACAAGGCGTGGGGGGCCACTTGCATATGCACCCCCCCCCACGCCCTGTTTTGGATGGCAGAGTGCTGCAGGAGGCCGTTCAGGCTGAAAAAGGGCATGGGGGCTGTGCCCCCCCCCCAGTGCCCCATTTTGGCTGCAAGAGGCACAGCGGGCCAGTCCTTTGCTATTTCCAGGCTGGCCTCGCAGGCCAGATTTAAGCACCCCACAGGCTTTGAGTTTGACACCCCTGCTTTAAAACTAAGATAAAGAAACTAAGACAAGATAAAGCTATAAGAGCCACTTTGATCTAGGAGTTAATGCTTCTATCTAGAAATCAGGAGACTATAAGTTGCAGTCCAACCTTAGGCATAAAAGCTGGCTGAGTATTTTAGACCACCAGTCATTCTCTCATCCCAACCCACCTTAAAGGGTGGTTGTGGGGAAAATGGGAGGCTGAAGGAATATTCAGCATGTTCGCCATTTTGAATTATTTATAAAAATACAGCTAGTCCTTGACTTATGACCACATTTGAGCCCAAAATTTCTGTTGCCATATGAATTTTGCCTCAATTTACAACCTTTCTTGACATAGTTGTTAAATGAATCACTGCAGTTAATTTGCATGGTTGTTGAGTGAATCTGGCTTCCCCATTGACTTTGCTTGTCAGAAGGTTACAAAAGGTGATTCTATGACCCTGGGACACTGTAATTTTCAGATATTGCCAAATGTCTGAATTTTGATCACATGACCATGGAGATGTCGTAGCAATTGTTAAATGTGAAAAATGGTCATAAGTCACTTTTTTCACAGCAACTCCAAACAAACTGTTTTAAGTTGAGGATTACCTGTAGTGATGGCCATACATACATACATAAGAATTCAGACCTGGCTGATGGTAAAAATGTGAATCTACAAAAAAACTCTACTTTTTGTACCTTAATAAAATGAAACCTTTCAGTATTCCTGGGCAATAACCAAGTATTTCTTCCTACTCACCCTAATATAAATGATTTAATATCAAATGAAATATTAACATCCTGTTACTTGTTACTACCTTGTGATCTCTAGAGCTGGAACACAAGCACCAGGTCTGTATGCAGAACTTCCTCGGTACTCCTTTGCAAAGATGAAGTCTTGCATGCTAGCCTTCCCTTCTAATAATTTCATGCACTGATTTTGCACGTATTGCTTGATATGACTTATATCACGTGTTTCAAATAGTAGCTTAATGGAACGCTCAAGTATCTGGAAAAGAAAAAGAAAACATGCTTTCAGTTGTCCCTTCAAAATTCATTTAAAGATACTTGAAATGATGGTGGCATTTGCAACATTACTGCACTTGTATACATCAAATGCTCTGGGCAATTTACAAGGAAGTCATCCTCCTTTTACAGTTGGTACTTCTGTCAGCCAAAGAATGAATCCTCTAACAAAAATGCGTACTTCATGTCTATTTTACCTTGGAAACAGCAGGACAAGCATCTCTTCTGACAGTTTCTATGCCTTTTGCATCAAATACTGGATCTTTCTGATCCAATGTTTCATACATATAACCAACATATCTCTTTTTGGTTTGCAATATACATGGCAAATAAACCTATAATAGGGAAACAAACATTAGAAATTGCAAACTTGTATCAAAAATGCAAATGTTTCTAAAACTATACAACCTTCATTAAAAAAAAACTTAGATGTAATCTTCCAACGAAGCATTTAATTTAGAGTCTGAGTGACAATTAGATCTTACAAACAAACTGCCACAAGCAACCTTGAAAAGAAAAGTTTCATGAGGCCAGCAGCTGCCTTACGAAGGGCGAGGCTGAGCATGTTTGGCCACAGAGGGAGCAAGAAGATGGCAAAGGTAGGGTAGCAGATGCCATGGAATGCAGGGAGCCAAAAGGTTATAGACGGAAGAGGAAATAGACTGGCGAGAGGAGCTGAAGCATCCTTGCAATCATAAGTGAGGGCAGGCTATCAAGTGCCTGAATTCTAATCACATGGCTGTGGGGAATGCTTCAATGGCCATAACTTCAGGTACCAATTTAAGGCCTTTCAAATGAACGTTGAATGAATAATTGTTAAGGCAAGGTCTACCTGTAGAAGTCAATGATGAAATACCTTGTTCACATGCTTTGAACATGTTAAAGACTCCTCATTTAGTCTAATAAATATAAGGACAGTGAAACTTATACAATTACAGTGCTTGAAATTTTACATGAGGAAATTAATAGTCTTGAGTGCAAAAATACAGTTTCAAACTTGTCTTACCTTTTCAAATTTCAATTTGACTGGTTTGGGATTGGTAGCTGTTACTGCTTCAGCAATTTCTTGACCAATTTTAAATGACTGTTCCTTGGTAGCTCCTTTCAGTAGTATAAACATGCTAAAACAAGAGAATTAACTGTTTAATTTCCCCCAGAACTGTTTAAGCAGCACAGTAAGACTTTATAACACGGCAAAAGGCATATGGGCACTTTTGCACAAATTACGGTCCTGGATATCCAGACTGTTTCTGGTGCTCAAAAGTTGTGGCATGCCTTGGGGATTGTGAAGGTATTTTGGTTACTTTAATATAATTTAGAAGTGCTTGTGAGTAACTACATAAATATCGTAACTTTTTAACATTTTGTCTGTTTCATATGAACCTGTCTGATGTGATTAAGAGAACAAAAAACAGCTAAACACAATACTGGCTGGCAAGCCTTTTCACCCAAAAACAGTCGTTACCTGTCTGTGTCCCCGTATACAACCCGTGCTCCCCATTTCTTTGTATCATTCACTAATTTTATTGCACGTTCCAAGGTCTCTCTGGCTTTGTGCACAATACTATCAGCAATCTGAAAATTAAAAAGATATATTACAAAAATCTTAACAAGATTGTCTTTCACCTAACCATGCATTTTTCATTCATTTGCTATACTCTTATTACTGTTCATAAAATTATATGATTTGTTCTACATATCCTGTAAAATCTTTATAGCAGAGTAAAAATAAAGATGGATGATTAAGCAAATCTGTTAAAATACATTCAAATTAGCTTTCTGATCATTACATTCAGAAGGCATTAGCAAAATATATGTGCTTATTCCTTGGGGCCGGAAATTACACAGATAAGAGACCCCTTCCGTTACTTCCATCAATTGGCACTCATTGGATCTATGTGTTTAACAGTGCTGCCTAAGCAGTTCTAACTGCTCTAACAGTTCTAACAAAGTGAAAAATCCTCTTCCCTGTGGCAATTACTCAAATAGTAACAATAACATTTTCATAATACCTCTGCTGCAGATCTCAATGGCTGGAAAGGTTTATAGCAGGAGTTTAGATGTCTTTTAACAATTTCTAATTTACTTAAAAGAATTACAGAATAACAGCATTGGAAGGTACCTTAGAGGTCTTCTAGTCCAAACCATTGTTCAAGCAAGAGTCCCTATATCTTTCCAGATATATAGTCCTTCTTAGAAATCTCCAGTGTTGGAGCACCCACCAAGTTGAGTTTTGAAGGCAAGTAGTTCTACTGATTAATTATTCTTTGAGTTGCCTGATCCTCTGCACTCTTTCTGGAATCTCAGCATCTTTTTTATATCATGGTGATCAAAACTAGATGCAATATTCCAAGTGTAATCTTAACAAGGCTTGTGGTACTAGCACTTCACATGATTTTGATTCTATTCCTCCGTTAATGCAGCCTAGGAATGAGTTGGCTTTTTTGGCAGCTGCAGCACACTGCTGGGCTCATATTTGAATGACTGTCCACTAGGACTCCAAGATCTCTCTCACAATTACTACCAATGAGCCAGGTATCCACTATTCTATACCCGTGCCTTCGGTTTTGTGCAGTTTGTGCAGAGAAGAGCAACAAAGATGATAAGTGGTCTGGAGACTAAACTATATGATGAACGGTTGTGGAAACTGGGCATGGCTAGTCTAACGAGGAGAAGGACTGGGATGACATGACAGCAGTTTTCCAATATTTGAGGGGCTGTCACAGCACCTGTAGGCCAGACAAGGAATAATGGATGGAAACTGAACAAGGAGAGATTTAACCTGGAAATAAGGAGAAACTTTCTGACAGTGAGAACAATCAACCAATGGAGCAGCTTGCCCTCGGAAGTTGTGGGAGCGCCATCACTTGAGACTTTCAAGGAGAGATTGGACTGCCATTTGTCAGAAATGGTGTAGGGTCTCCAGCTTGGGCGGTGGGTTGGACTAGATGACCTACAAGATCCCTTCCAACTCTGATTATCTGTTATCTGTTACAGAGAAGAGAGGGTCGACTTATTCTACAACCCAGAATTAAGCAAAGAGTTTTCTAAAAGGTAGAACAATTAATCAGTAGAACAGCTTGCCGCCAGAAGCTGTGGGTGCTCCATCACTGGAGGTTTTCAAAAAGAGATTGGATAACCATTTGTCCGAATGGTATAGGGACTCCTGCATGAGCAAAGGGTTTGACTAGAAGACCTCCAAGCCACTTATAGCCCTGTTATTTTATGTTCTATGTGTTCTCAGAATTACCTGAACTAAAACAGCATTCCTGTACTACAGTTAGTAAACCAAGCCTTTTTTCTTCTAATGTGTTATGCTATATTTGTGTGTGCCTTCGTTTCAATTTTGGCTCCTCTTGACAAGTCCCTGTAGTTTGCTTAGCAGGGTTTTCTGAAAGTCTTTGCCTCTTCCTAGGATCACTCTCCTCCTAGGGCAAAGAGTGATTGACTCAAGGTCACCTTTTGGCTTCATGCAGAAGTAGAACTGATGGGTTTCCAGTGCCTTAAGCATTATATCAAAATAAGCCTCCATTATCATTAATATTTTGTTTTCAATTACTTACTTCACTACATGGCATCCTTCCAGAAAAATTAGCAGCAGTATAACCAAAAGTGACGTTTGCTATAAGTTTAAGGCCAAGCTGGCGTGCGTCAAGCATTCGAGTGATAGTTTTGTCAAGTTTGTAAGCTTTCATTGATTGCTTCACCATTATTCTAGTCTTTAAAATTTCTTCCAGCATTCTTGGCAGTACACCCTTTCTTACAGAAGGCTGTTGCAAAACAAAAGCAGTAACTGAAAGGTTGATAGTAATAGCACTATTAATCCTCATGTAATACTGTCTTTTTCTTAGTGATATGTTGAGGCAAACAGTCCCCAAATGTCTCCAATATTTTAACTTGACACCCTTCATGGTTTCCACTTCTATTTATGTATACATACATTGGAATACAGCTTGGCTCCATCCTCCATCAGTAAGACTCAGAATCAGAGAGAACCTTCTCCCTTGTTTTCCTTCCAAAGGGCTGACAAGGGATGAGTCTCTTCTTTGAGTGTCACATTGTTCTGAAGCCAAGCACACCTGGGTGTCCCCATAAATAATGCTACTCATCACAGTTTTGAACCACTAGTTGCTGAAAGAAGGACTAATTTTTTAAGTTCAATACTGTTTATCAATACCTACTATTTTCCCCTAAAATTCTATAATTCATTTCTCATAACTATTAGAGTATGCAACTGAATTTATTTACAATTAAAAGAAAATATAAACACAAGATTATTGTGCTAAATAAAATCAAGTACCTTAACAAAAGCTATTCCACTGGGGGAGATTGTGATATCATGTCGGAGCTGGTACAGCAGATCAGGAGATACTCTCAGAGATGTACATCCAAATTTAAATTCATCATTTCTAAAAAATAGGGAAGAATGAATTGTTTTAAACAGTTCATCTTTTCAATCCCTCTCACGATCCAGCTTTTCCTGCTTGCAATTCACTCACTCACTTCTTTGCCTACTATTTTCTCCTTATCTATCTTACAAGTTTCAGTTAAGTGTGGAATACATTTCTGCCTCTCTTTTCAATTGAGCTAAAATACCAAACTTCTTACAACAGACTAAAACAAAAATATCCTCTACAATAACACTAAAAATAAAGCCAACAGATCATAAAAGTGGTGCTATTAATTACAAGTGTGGGAAAATAGGATGCTTTTAAGCCATCAACAACAGAACATAGAGTTCTACTCATAAATTTCTCTAGAGAAAAATACCGTTTTTTATTGTTGCTGGAATCTCCTCTTGTTTCACTTATTTCTCTCAATAAAGTTAGATTACTGTTCTTTTTTAGATCAAAAGAAAAATACTACATAATCTTCATTTTTAATGTCATATAATAATTGTAATTCATTGTTAGGAATTATGTGGGGTACCATTTCAGCCTATTTATATGAATCATATCATAATTAGCAAAATATGAATCTGTACAGTCACCCTGGTTTTTTTAATTATTTCTTTTTGTGTAAGCAAATGCTCTCTCCAGATTGCTAATTATATTAATTGTATTGCATTTTAAAACTTGTATACAGGTTGTAACTGACTTACGATCACAATTGGGACTGGAATCTTGGTCCTTCAGCAAAGCACCATTGAGATGCCCATGTGATCGACACCATCCCAGCACTCCCAGTTTTTAAGGCGACAGACTGCCTGCTGGGAGGACTTCTTAACTCGACATGGAGCCAATATTCACTCCCCACTCTGATCAACAGCCCTTTGAGAGCTGAGAGCTCTTAGCCAAGCACTGAGATTCCCTTACAGCAGGCAGCCCTTCAACAGTGACTCACTCTGTGTAGTGTGTGTGTGAGAATGAAAGACATTTTGTGACTGGTCTTAACTGCTTTGCAGGCCATAAAGCACCCTTTCTGAGGTCATTGTGAATTTGAGCACTTGTTAAACTACTTGTTAAGCAAGGACTACCTGTATTGTCTGTCTGCAGGCAAGATTGTTTTTTAAAAGAGAAATTTTAAGTATCCTAAAATTCTATAGTCACTTATGTAATTTGAGAAAGAGTGCTAATCATTTGTTTTAATAGTAGTATAACCATGCACAGAGATTTAAATGATTAATGCTTACTTCCCCAAGTTTTCAATATGTCCCAAGCATGTGGAAAAGCAGTAATTGTATGCTATCACTATTGATGGATATAGAGACTGAAAATCTAGCACAAGGACAGCATTACTGTAGAAACGGGATTCTGGCTCCATTATTAAAGGAATGCATTGAGGGGCTCTCATCTGAGCTCGCTGTTGAACGCTGGGTGTCACAGCAATGTAATTCATTGGTTTGGCAATTCGCAGCATCATTGATTCCACACGATACTAAATAAAACAAAAACTCAGTAATTAGGAGCAATTTATTCCTGAGTATTAATAATTAAAGCTATAAAGTGGAGTTCCCAGCATCAATGGCTGGTATAAGACATTAATCAGGAAACAAAAACTGCATCCCATGTTTATTTTTCAAAGGACAGAAAAATAGACAATTTTTGGTTGGAATGCCTATCTACTCAAGAACACAATTCTGAGACCAACCGCAAGTTACCAGAGATAAGACAACAGAAAATATAATCCATCCTAGAACTAATTCAGGAATCAAAAGTATTTGTGGCTAGTTATCTCTCTTCTCAAAGTGGAAGGATAGACCTGAAACCAAAATAAATGATTGGCTAAAACAATCTACAGCATGTCTGTAACATAAAGTAATTGTTTATGTTTACTATAATTCTCCACAAATTAAAAAGGTATATGTTCATTTTTAAACAATTAAATCAAAGCAATTAAAGGTTACCTGTGATCCTCTTGTCAATACATGCAAGAATTGAATTCCAAACAGCCTTGCCATTTCACTTGTTCTGCTAATCAAATCCATTTGTTCTAATAGCTGTATATTCCCACGAACACGACTAATATAATAATCTATGATTTTCCACCTTTAAAATAAAAGCATTAATAAGTAAAACCTTCAAAACTGAATCACAAGAGCGTTTTGAAAAAAAAATGCCAAAGAATTTGCTAAGAATTTTAAAAATGAAAAGCAATAAAATATTACTCTTTGAAACAAAAGTGAACAAAACTGTTATATTATGGCCCTACTGGACACTTATGTATTTCAGATCTATTCATACTATTGGCTTTCTTTCTCTACAGTCACTATGGAAAAGATTCTTCGTGCATAAAAGTGTAAATCTCATATTTAGCTGTGTCAATCCGAAGGCAGGATTTCCAGGGCTAATGTGAATATAGAACTTGACTGCTTTTCTCTCTAATATATACTTTGATGGGGGGGGGGTGTTACATCATGAGCCCTTTTGTTTGTACTCTACCCAGTATACTATGTGTTTGAATCTTGAGATGAGAAGTGGTGGGGGGACCCTTATTTGTTTATTCGTGTTGCAGGGAAGATTATAGCCAAAATTTCCTTTGTGCCCTTTGATTTGGATGTACTAATATTAATATGGTAAAACTTAGGTGGTCAAAAATCTTATTTCTGATTTCAGTTAGTTATGGAAATAAATGCATGTTACATTTTTAGGAGGTACTGTTAGACCTGAGAAAGAAGGCAGTTTATTGAGATCAGCTGGTGGTATCTAGATGACCTAACATATCTCTCTGTGGAAAGTAAAAAAAAAAAAAAGAGTTGTGAGGACATGGGAATCACCAAACTGCTGCCACCTTTTTTGTGGCAAATTTCCATAAAGCTACAGAAGATGCACTGTGAATCTTTAGACAATAACATCTTTGTTACTGATTATCACCTATTACCTCAGAATACAAATGGTCTTGTGAAGCTTTGAGGCAATGTGAAGTAATTGCAAGTAAAACAGATTAAATAATTCTATTTACTTACAATATGATAATTCATATCATATAATTTTCATGTATTTCAGCCCATTCCATGGGAATTGTATTTTAAATGTAAAACTTGAGTGGTTTATCAAGCTTACTGTATTCTTAATTAGTTGTATAGCCAATGTATTTTTCGATAGCACAACACCTTTCTATTCAGTGAACAGACTGGTAACAGACTTAAACACCATGAAAACAAGCAGCAGCAAGCCTCATACTTGCAACAAACTGAAACAGTCCACGTCTTCCTTTTTAAAAAACTGAGACTTGTTTTGAATTGAATCTGATAAATTCAAGTCATTTGTTAATATAGCACACTATTACTCTACCAGTCATGCAATGTCTTTCCTAAATAAACCACAATTAAATATTGTTCAAGGTCCAGAATGACATTCCAAGCAGCAATTAATTTAGAATGCAAGTAATAACCTCCTTTTCACAACCCCAACAGAAGAGAAAAAGTTCATGGGGAAACTGCAAGCAATCTGATCAACCACAAAATGTGCCTGATAACATCAGGAAAATGAATTTGGAGGACGGATCTATAATGCTGACCTGTTGGTTTACAACTTCAGATTGGAACTTACAATTATAATTTCTCCTAACATATATAATAATTGCATTCGGTACCAGGCAATTAATTTTAAAATGCTCATTACAGAAAATTACCGATAGATGTCTGCCTTGTTGTCAAACCAATCAGAGAGAACACGAGGAGTGAAGAGTGGGAAACGCTGATGAAGTATATGAAAGCTCACATTTTCAAATGTATAGTTGGTCAAAGCCACCTAAAAATAGAAAATTTGGATGATTATATTTTTCTATAGTTTATATCCAGAACATGGAATGGAATTACACAGAAATAGGTTGAAAACTGACACAACTTTTAATAGTTTCATTTTACAAAGTATCTGGTACAGAACAGGGCAAGGATTCAGATATCAAACACTAAATTCTGACCAAAATCTCAGAACGTATGCTGGGAAAATGTTGAATGAAGACAAGAACAAACCCTTTATGCCACAGAGACACTTTGGGCTCTCACAGTGACCTTGAATTTCATTAGGCTTTGCATCACTAAGCTAATCAGGAATGCAGCTAAAAATACTTCCCATCTCTATCAACCAATAAGTAATGTTATTGCTGCATTCCAATGAGTATTGCAAGAAAAATTAGATGGGAGAAAAAATCAACAATTAATGTGCTTCAAGACAAATAGGTTCTATATTTATATCTACAGTATCTCTAGTTATTTCTATCTTAGTTCACAGAAAGGACTTGGCCTCCTACTAAGCCAATCAGGGAAGCCATCAGCCTCAGCTGCCTCAGCCATAGTCAGATATTAAGGCCACATTAAACAATTTAAAAAATAACCCTGATCCAGTATTTCTCACCCAACTAGCATAATTGCCTCTCTCCACTCAAGAAGCAGGGACCATTTGCTTTTCCTCAAAGAATATGGAAAAACTACCTTTCACGTGAGTGATAGTTACTAGTTAATCATTACAAAATTCTCAGCACAGGAAAAACAAATTAACTTATAAGACGGATTACAGCATGATTACAGGAAAAGAGTTGATTCAAAATATTTAAGAACTGGTGGTCACCCATAGGACACTGCTAGGGAATTCTGGGAGTTTATATTCAATTGAAGAGAATACCTATAGTTCAGGATTGAACTGTTGGGAGTTCTTACTGCTGAGCTTGGATGCTTACTTGCAGACATTTCATTATCCAACTCGGTAACATCATCAATGCAAGTGAATGTAGGGTTTTCTGCCTATTTATATGTAGGACTTGTTCTGCCACTTGGGTGGGGAAGTGGTTTTCTTATTGGCAATTCCTTGCTTAGACTAGTTTTCTATATGATTGTGGGGTCCTTTGTGCTCTCTGAGCTTGGTGGTATTCTTGCAGGCTGCATGGTTGTTCCTGCTTATCCTTATAGGGGGTGCTGGAGGGGATGTGTAGGCTTTTGTTTCCTTCCTAGGTTTCTTATTGTCTATTTTGTGTAACGTGGTTTATCTCTATGCATCGATTGATGATCAATTCATCCTTCAACAACTTCTTTGAAGGAATGATTATACTCAAATTATACTCAAAACATCAGACACGAGGTTGAAGAATGACTTACAATAGAAGAGAATGACTTAAGACTGACACTATACAGACAAGTGTAATTAATATATTTCAAGCAAAATAACACTAGCTTAGTAAGCAACTGGTCTTTAAACAGAATACTGCCAAAAACTTAACTAGGATACACTACTAAATTATCCAGCAATAGGTATCTAGTACTATTTTGCTCTACCCAACCTTTGCTCTTTCCTCCACAATGCAATAACTCAAATCATGTGATTTGATTCTCTCTATGGTATTCTCAAGTCAGCAAAGGTAGTCAAATTGTTCTCTGGTTGCTTTGGATAGAAGTTTACAACAGTTGTTTGGCAAAAGAGTGAAAGATTATAAGTATCAGGATATTTCAAGATTTTGTATTTTTATTATTTAGAAGCAAGTAAGCTGCCTAGAAAAAGAAAACCCCATAAGCATATTTCTATCATTCTGAAAACAAGAGTAGTAGTTTATTTCAAATTAATTAATAAGCTCTTTGGAAATGTTATTTTATAATAATTTGAATTTATATACACCTAATACTCCTATTGCCCTTTTCCTAGTTTAATAATTTCACCAGATTTTACCTCATGTCTCATAATTCTCCAGATATTTAATATAACTCTTCCAACAATGTTTATTTCACTCATTGTATCTGCTCCATATTCATCTAGATCTGAAGCAAATCTGTTCTCTTTCTTATCATCTAAAATAAAAAATGAAAAAATAAATAAATTTAATGACAAATACTAAATGTGCAAGTATCAGAACAAAGCAGTCATGCTTAAATCTAAGTTTACTATAATGGTAATAAACCACCCTGGCAAGTTGTATATTATACCTCAACTTAAGAATACAAACATAATTCTCTTTTTTTCCATTGCACTACTGAGCCAGGAGAAAAAAACATAACACTTTAAGAAACAGACCTGCAGGTCTGAATTTATGTCAGAACAATGTGTGTGTATGTGTGTGTGTGTGTGTGTGTGTGTGTGTATGTATATGCGTGTATGTATATGCGTGTATGTGTGTGTATATATGTATGGCATTCAGCTTTGTTCGGGTATTTTCCCACGTCATTGTAGTTGTGCTTTTAAAGTTGTAGCAACGTTTCGGCAGAATCTCATCTGCCATCATCAGGCTTCTGTATTCTGATGATGGCAGATGAGATTCTGCCGAAATGTTGCTGCAACTTTAAAAGCACAACTACAATGACGTGGGAAAATACCCGAACAGAGCTGAATGCCATATATGTAAGTACCCGCGAAAACTTAAGAAAATACACACACACACACACACACACCCCTTTGGCATGTAACAAGGTAACCTGAATTTACTCACATTAGATTCATATCCTGCTTATTTTGATAGCTGCATTTCCTATTTCTGTCCCTTATCAGAAATAAGGGTTAGAAATACAGGTAAATATGGGTACAGCTATCTAACGTCACAAATTTAGAAAGTCAACTTTCTCTGTTAAACTGATGAATTAACAGCTTGCTATAGGGGCAGAATACAAGTTATGCACTCAGTTAATTGTCATCTCAAAAAAATTGGACAGAAGACTCAAAACTAACACATGGTTCACAAACACACCTGGAACACGAGAGATCATCTGACATAAATCAACATCCAGAGCAGCAGCTCTCTGTAAGAGGTATCCCCAAGAATGCATTTGGACTTCATAGCCTAACAAAATATCTGGATCATACCTAAAAAGAGAAAGATATGTCTTCATATAACCAATTATTTAATTTAAATTTATTCATTAAAGCTACAAATGTCACTAAATTAAATAGTTATTTGGTGAAGTTTAATTCCCTACTGAGGTACTATGTGGAAAGGTGTACACAAATTTGATCTGAAATACTGTATACAGATAGTCCTTAACTTGTGACCACAATTGAGCCCAAAATTTCTGCTAAGTGAAAAAACTGTTAAGTGAATTTTGCCCCATTTTACAACTTTTCTTGCCAGCTGATAAGAGAATCACTGCAGTTGTTAAGTTAGTAACATAGTTAAGTGAATCTGGTTCTCCTTGAATTTGCTTATTAGAATGTTGCAACAGGTGATCACACGACACTAGGACACTGCAACCATCATAAATATGCATCAGTTGTCTAGCATCTGAATTTTGATTGTGTGACCATGGGGATACTGCAACAATCGTGTGAAAAATGATGTCACTTTTTTCAGTGCCATTATGACTTTGAATGGTTCACTAAATGAACTGTTGTAAATTGAGAACTACCTGTATTGTCAATATTGTCAAATAATTGGATTGGGATTCAAGTGAAGATGACAAATTAATTTGGAATCTGGAGTTTTTGAATTCTAAAAAATGCTCAGGCTTCCTGACTAAAGGCATCATGGACCGGGAGAAAGCTGAAACTTTAAAAAAAAAAAAACTAATGGATTGAATTAATAGTTAAAAGGAAAAAAGTTCACAGCATTATCACTGAATTCATTAATTTCATAATAGTAAATTTCAATATATGAATGTATAACTTGATCTTAAAAAATTCCTGTTTTATTACTCTGAAGACAGCATGTTTTTTCAAAATTTATTGATGAGTTTCTAATTCAAAGAAACCAGTTTTATAGATCAGAAATATTAAGTGTCTCTTTATTTTAGGTTAAGCCATATAATATGTAAAATAAGAGTGAAACTACTAAACTTCATTTTAATGTGTTAGTATTCTACAAATTGGTTTCCACAGAAACTGAGTAAAGTAATCCAATGTAAAAATTACTTCCATTTCACAGTTGGAAAAGTGAAGCTGCCAGTTATTTGCAATGATTATTTTCTAAAAACATTGTTCAGTAAACATCTGACTTGGTTTTCTTTACAATTATAGAGCCCTATATTGCTTAAACTTATTTTGCACCTCTTCCACTAAAAATAAAAAAGGCCAAGTAGAAATATACCAATGACTCTTTGCTAGCCATGCCAAATTAGATGTATAACATTTTGGTTTCTAATTAATAAAAAGAGAGTCTGAAAGCTTTAATTCTCATAAATAATGTATTCAGATGAATGTTGGCAAGATTCCTAATGGTCTTAGTTCAAATAAAATGAACATTTCTATAAATTCTGAGCATGCCTAGAACCTGTAATGTTCCGTTCAGATAGAAAAAATTGTTGATCCACATGATAGATGACTATTCTAATGCTAATTAATTACTAATTAAAATAATCAAGAATCTATTTGACAGAAACACTGGCTGAATATATACATATATCCAAAATTATTTTGCTTACCCTTGTGCAGAAAATGATGAATATTTATATTCAGAATAATAATTTCATTCTTATCAAGACATTAAGTTTCATGAATTGTAGCATATCAAAGCTTCTGCTGGGGGATTCACTCATGGATGAATGCTTCTCATAAATTTTTTTCTCTATATGGTAAACTAGACCTAAAAAGGTTGACTAGCTCAGTGCGACTACACTATGTGCACTATGTAACATAGAGTGTCAAGGATTTGTTTTTAGTGCCACAAGTTTTTGAAGGCTTTTTTCTATACAAAAATTAGGATAAATTAATTCAGAGGGGCATTTTTGAAAAAAAAATGTCTGGATGCTTGAAATTATAGCAGTCTTTATAAAGTATTTTCTGTGTGTCTTTAGCTACATTTCTTTTGTGTGGGGATCTCTTTGGTAGGCAGAAATGGAGACCTTAGTGTAACTGATATAATACAGTTCTTAGGTTCAATAATGGGACTACTTCGAATAAATAGCAATAATTGGGTGTGTATACTCTATAGTCTCTTAAACATTTCAGTTACTTTAACTCTAGTTAAATAACCACAGATACGTGTGTGTGTGTGTGTGTGTGTAACAATTTAAAACAATATGAACTCTTTATTATCAGCTTTTCTTCAGTGGAATCATAAAAATTGATGTCTTCTACAGTTTAAAGTCTGGCATCTATTACTGCCCTAATGTTTATGATGAATATTACTAAGTGGACAAATAATATTTCTGTGCCCATTTCCAAATTCAAATCCAGTATTTTCAATTAAATAAAATTTATAGCATGCACTTTCTTCCAGGAATTCAAGGCAGTATATAAGGCAGCCTTATAATTTTCCCCACTGATCTCAAATCATCCCATGAACTTTCATGGCTTAGAGTGGAGTTGAACCTGAGATTTCTTGGTGCCAATCAACCCTTCGACCATTATACTAGACTGGTTCTTCAATTATGTTGTAGCAAATCATGTAGAAGATTCCTAATTGACATATTGGTGAGCCTTAGTCTATAACAGTAGATTGGACTGAGATATATAGGTAAATAGATGGTTAAGTAAAATAGTTTTACTTATTTGATTTGCAAACTGCCAAAACTTCACTAAGTAAGACACAGATCAGAAGTTTATATGAAATCTAAATTATGTCATACAGTTTTGTCCAACTTTAATACCTGAGAATCTTATCTGTATTAATGTGATAATGTATTCATTGAATAATTTCAACATCCTGATAAGACAAGCAAAGTATTTATTAAATTTTAATGCAATTTAAAATTAAGATATGTAACGTGTTTCATTATAGAAATGCTACATGTTTATTGCTAGTGTTATTTTACACATAATACATTAAAAGGGTCACTACTAAAGTAATAGGAGTAGTTACAGCTATTAAGTTTTTTAAATTCCATTTTCAGTTCTACTTGTTGGTACAGAATTCACAGAAACTTAGTTTACAAACTAAAAACTTTCATGGAGAAAGCCACTGCAATTTAACTAAATAACTTTTCTGAGTGAAAATATATTAATATATTTCACCATCTATAACCAGAAAGTTTATCTGATAGGTGTGTGTGTGTGTCTCAGATTCAGTCCACACAGATGTTTTTGCACTAGTCATTTTGACACCATTTGGTTATTTCTGTACATTTGTTTTGTATTCCTCAGTTACTAGATAACCAAACAATAAAAACTGTAGTCAAGTACACTGAATATATATTAAGAGTTCAGCATTTATTTAGCTGTTCTTCTAAATTTTCCACCACATGCAGTTCATAGCCAAAGATTATTACACTGTATATTAGAATTATACGATTTTAGTGAAAGTTTGATCATTTCTTCTTTTCTCTGCTGTTCTAGTAAAGCTATGAAATTTTCATTTCCACTAATCACAATTTAATGTGTCACCCAAATTAAAAAAAACAATTTTTAGTCAATAATAGGGGGAACAAGAAAGGTTTGTAAACTATAGGTTAAAATAGCTTATTTCCACTAACCAATATTAAAATGTATTACAGTTGTTAGGTTGAGCAATGTAAGCCATACTTAATAGGTCAGTCATTAAATTGTTTCAGAGACAACATACACATTCAAATTACCTAGCCTTCAAATGGTAAGGCATACTACAGATAGTATAAACTTTAAACCATTCCAAACCTTTATTTTATCTGCAAAGCAGTAATGATCTTTATATGAAGCTGACTAGAACAAGGAAGTGAAAATTAATGTATTCTAATTTGTGTCTTTGTCTCATTCAAAAGAGTTATCTAACTTCTACTACATCCAACAAAACTGAATTTGCAGTGATGATAATAATTCACAATATTAACAAAAGCTAATTTGAACACTGTTTTGTCCAATACAATATTTAATGAAATTAATGTCATAGCCAAAAATAATGAGCTAGGGAAAAAATAAAAAAATCAAATATACTCAAATCCAGGTGGTCATTTATTTGAAATATAGGTTCATACATTTCAACATTGAATTATTATTTTTCTAAATAAAATCACTGACTGAAAGTCTTGATTAATTCGATTTTAGAGGGAGTGTAATTTTTATCCTTCAAACAGTAAAAATATTGTATCAAAACTATCTGAAAGTACACATCATAGTCGTCATTGGCCAGCCCTAGAAGCTGACATGCAGCATTTCCAGAAGTGTTTACCAGGTAACAACTCAGATGTTTGGTTTGCCTTTTTCATGATAGAGAAATCAGTGTGCTTTCTTCATTCAGTGAAGCCTTCAGCGGTCAAGTCTTCATTTGATCTTCAGAGATAAAGAAAAATTGTAATGTTCTATTGTTTGGAATGATTTTTTTTTTAATGCAGACAAGTGATATTTTTCCTATACTTCCAAAAGGGTGGAAGACTTTAAAAAAGTAAAAGAACAGAATCGGTTTGCTATTTCCAAGTTGTTTTGTAAGTCAGACGGAGCAGCGGATTCCCAAAAAAGAGAAAGATAAAATTAATTTCCTTACCTGTAATTTTGTCTTCTCTGAACAGGAATCCGCTGCTTCGTCAGGACCCACCCTTTGCTGGTTGCTTTCAGCAACTCTAGTATTCTGGTTTCCTGGATTTGGTCAATGCCATTCTCATCAGAAGTTTTCTAGTTGGAGAGAGAGAGAATTGCAAATGTACTCTGCCTAGTACACATTTTCCTTGAGAATGTATTCCAGCCAGAAGTTTCAAAGATTAGCTTTCTGGATAACAGTAAGACTTCAAAGCTTTGGCAGTTGATTTGAAGAAAGACACATCTGAACTTCTATAAGTGCATGATCAGAGGATGCTATAAGAACATGTAAGGAACTTGAAACGATACACCAAATCGAATTTGGAAAAGGAGAAGTTTCCCTCTGGAGAAGACATACGTAAAAAAATTCATGCCTCCCTATTTATTTTTGGCTGTATCACAAAGAGCAATGAGTTTTGCTATGAAGTTGTCATAAAAGTTACCCTTTTCCTGCCTATCGGTAGATTTTTTAAAAGCTGTATTGTAAGACAGAAGTTTTCTAGATTTCACATGCATTTAGGGATATTACAACTTCAGTACTACTGATGTGAATTCTAGTTTAGAGAACTGAATAAGTATACCTTAAAAGATAAATATATTGTTATGAAGACCCAAAGCAAACTTTTATAAAACTGTTAAAATATGGGGACATAAGAAAGAGAAGGGAGACCAAAGTTGAACAAACTTAATCAGGAATTTATAAGCTGAAAACAAAAACAGAATACTACCTTTTAATAATATTCACTACCTCCTGGAAAAGTGCTCTCTCATCAGTAGCATATGTGACTTCCAACCCTGAGATACCAGATCTTGCTAGCAAAGGGGCATGTTCTCTATTACCTGAAAAGCAAATTGAAATGCATTTATTTCTTAAGAAAAACCTGGTCATTTCAGTTTCAACAGTGAGCAGCACAAATGGTACTGCAGGCACTCCCCTTTCTCCACCTGCTGCAGACAAAGCATGAACAAGTTCATGTCGATTTTTTATTTGATTCTATCATATGGAAAAACATACACATTTTTGAATTTTTTTTAGAATGCTATACCACTGATTTTTCTAAAGTTCAAATGCTATAACTTTTCACAAACATGCATCATAATAAATCATCATATGCACCGTTTTATTAATCCATACTAGAAAAAACAACTGTTGCATTATTTACTATAATAATACTAAAAAAATTCTTTAAATTTGAATCCCTGCTACCAATCTTTTATTATTCTACATTATGAATATACCTGATTCAGAGGAAGAAAACCATGCTGCATTAATCTCTATCAATATGCACCATTTAAATATTGCTGGTCTTCACATGACAAAGAGGTAGAATATTAATCAATATAGATCTCATTATCAAAACTGCCTTGGTATCCAAGCACTAAGCTCTCTATGCAAAGCTCACCTTGCTTTCTCTTATACAAAAGATCATGGACTATCTTTTATTATTCTTATTCTTCATATAAACAGGAAACAAGCTGATGGGAAGGATTCTGGCTAGAAGTGAACAAACTTAATCAGGAATTTATAACACTACAATGTAAGATAGGGTAGATTCTCCTTGAGGACAGTGCCAGACTATGATGATCAACTGAGATTAGGAATGATCAGTGAGCATTATGAAACATGGCTTTTTAGGCAATTACTATGTAACCTAAGGCCCATCCGTAGGACAAATGGAAAAATATTCAATAGTGTTAGAAACTAATTGATAATCACATCAAAACAATTAAAAACAATTAAAAACACATTTATTACTTTTAGTTCCAAGTAAATTATTTTTAAACAGCCACACAGTACATACATGGCCAAAATCAAGTTGAGGTTGAAACACTTTCATAGATGTTTCTATTTCAATTTGATCATGATTTTTGTTACAATGGTCCAACATTAGTCAATGTGTTTTTAGAATCTAAAAAGTTTATGGTAGTATTATCACAAATGAGATTTTACTTTGTCAGGCAATGGTATCTTAAATAAATCAAAAATTCAGTACTAATAACTCTGCAACATTAAATACAACTTCTGCTTTTTAAAGAAAATGTGCTAAATCTATTATGGTTGAATTCAGTCTATGTTTTCTTTTCAGTTTCTGAAGGCAGCCTCTAGAAAGATATAATTTACTAAAAACAATCTGTGCTTTAAAATTAAATATTTTAAAGAAAAATGCTAGCAAAGGATGCTAAAGATAAGAATAGGAATTACTTAATAACCAGAAATAAAAGTGGATGAAAAGATATGTTTTGTTATCATGTTATGTTATTCAGAACTTTAATAACAGCATAGTTACTGAATATAAATCTAAGAGTTTATTACTTTATTCTTGTAAGTTATTACTAGTTTATTACTTTATTCTTAATACTTAAGTTTAAGTATTTTTTTTCACTAGCCTAAACCAGTGGTACTCAACCTTTAACAGCTGGAGAGCCACTTCACCATTAACTGTTGCAGAGCGTAACATCAAACGTGAACATTGCAATCTTTTCTTCATGGTGCTACCTAATTTTTGGTGGTGTTTTTCACCATGTACAATATTTACTGAAACATGTCATGGCATATCATTTCTCCCCAGTGCTGTCATCCTTGTTTCTTATTGGTTGCTGGGAAAAAAAGGGAGGCTTCCCATTCTCTCCCATAGCTGCTGGGCTGGAGTGATTTCTATTCTTACCTGGCAGGGGAATCCCAGCAGCTCCTTCGCTTTCCTCCTATGGGAGGAGGTACTTCAGTGACTCCCACACTGTCGGTCCTTTGGTTAGTGCTCCCCGCGCTGCCTGATAGAATGGAGCGCCGATCAGATGCCTACACTGCGAGAGCCGCCTGTAGGGCCTCAAGAGCATCCAGCTCTAGAGCCACAGGTTGAGTATCACTGGTCTAAACAAAGCCAAAAAGGTACAATACAATAAGGGCCCTCTTTAGACCCTACAAAGATCAGAGAAAACCACACAACAACCCTTATGCAACATTTAACATATTCCGTGTTCTATCGTTACTCAAACCAATTAAGACAGATTACCAAAACTGAATTCCTTGAACAGTCCTAGGAAATTAAAAAGGACTAGTTCAGCACAAGAGTTTTGAGGCCTGCCATCTAGGATATGCTTTCCTCTTTATATATCTTCAGGACTTCTGCAGGAGCATGCTATAAGATATTAAACACTGTTTAATATACACTTAAGTAGGTGTTAAGCATTATAGCCCTTGCAAATGTTCATAAAAAGATATAAGGTGGAAACCATCTACTATGTCCATGATTCTACAATGAGATGACATGAATTTAAACACTAGCGAACATCATTCAAAACCACATTTTATTAAATATGTTTATTAATACCTAAATACATAAATTCAAAATATTGGCATTGATTTTAAAGAAAACAAAACGAAATAAGGACCTTGGCTGGAGATAGATCTTGTTCTGTCTTTATCGATCACTATAGCACCGGTGATTTCCATTTTCTCAGTCTCTGGCAATGGTGTGTCAGATGAGATGCAGTAGAATAAAGCACAGATAGGGTCAAATTCAGGATCCGCCTCCAAATCTCTTCTTGTTCGAGCATGCAATTCTATACTTAGCAGTGTAAGATACTGTACCTACACAGAAAAGTTTACATTATCTTTACATAATTTAAAATAAAACATTATAAGCAAAACCTTTATCAACAATCAAGCATGAAATTATCCTTTAGTTTAGCTGATTAATGTGAACTTTTTCAGGAATCAATAAAATCATGTAATTTAGTGGTAATGGATAAATCAGTGAGTACCTAGGAATATTAGCCAATCTTGATTTAAGTACTTTCATTTTGAAAACTTCAAAAATGATCCGAAAAACATATATTAGGTATGTAAAGCATTTTCAATTAAAAAAACGAGTTACCTCATGTAAAGCCTTTGCTTCTTGAAGGTTTTGTACACTTATTTTAAAACCATAAGAATTGTTCAAAGATGGTCCTTCAATCTGAGAAGTTTCTTTCTTTTGAGTATTTATGGTAGCGAACTGGTTCTGTTTAAATAAAACAACAAACTTCTAATAATTAAGGCTAATTTTTTGATAATTTAAATAATTTAACTCTCACAATCTTATTCATGTTCATTCAACTGGTGTGTATAAATAAATACTCAGATCATATTCCAAGTAGAAAATAACTGCCATATTGTTATCATTTCTAATGCTTTTTACAATTCCAATGGGAGTCTTTTTCTGTTAACACAAGACTTACAACTGGAAAGTGTCTTTGAAATAACCACATAGATAGGGAAAGCTTGTATATTCCCCTCTTCAATATGCTGTGCTCAATTATAGCTGATTACAAAAAACTGGGAATAGCTGCACAGTTAATACTGACTGCATCAGTAACACTGTGGTTTTAGCATTTACAGCTACATGTTATAGCCACATAAATTGCAACCTATACCACATACACTGTTTCCTAGGCTGTTGCTAATGCTTATTAACATATCCTTCAATCAAAATGATCAGACTCAATATATCAAATGTGTTCTTCAAACATGAAAAATTTAAGTTCCCCCAAAAAGCATTACATGTAATCAGTTAATTTTTAAATGCATTTTCAATAGGAAATGCACACTTTTATGTGTAACAGCTAGCAACAAGTTTTCGTATTAAGTCAGCAGAAATGAATCTAAAAGTGATTTCTGATATGGTGTATCACAGAAAGTAATTTTACAAATAATTCCTAGTAATTTTCAGTATTCAAAGGTATTTATTTTACTCTACTAGGCTCATTTCAGACTGCCCTATCATATAAACTTCCACAAAGAAGTTAATCTAGAATGAAATGAAACAGGATAATCTTAAACAAAAACTTGAAAGACAAAAAATAAAAAGCCATGTTAGTATAAAGTTTCATTCTTTCTTCTTACCTTAATTTGTGTTGTTAAAAGTACTTTACGAAGTGCATCAACATTTTTTCCTCGTCTAGAACTAAATTTTTGAACATCTCGTCCTATGGCTTAACAAAGAATATTAATTTGTATTATACAAATTTCTATGCATTTCAGTTCATGTTTTAAGCAGCTTAAAATATAATGAGCATGCATACCAACAAAACAAGTAAACTGTAAGACCAAATTACATAAATACAACTCTGAATTAATTTCAATTCTTGGCAGAACTGTATAGTTTCTTGTCAGGAATATTACAATGATAATCAAAAGTCCCTTCCAACTCTGTTATTCTATATTTATGCAATGGATTAAATTATGTACAAAAACTTTGAAGTTTATTTTAATTAAAAAGTTGCAGAGCACATGCTTTGCTTTCAGAACCTACTGGTTCAATCACTGGCAACTTCAAATAGTGAGTAAAAATAAAGAGTATTTTCCAGATAGAATACAAGTTGTACGTGAAACAAGCAAATGTTAACCCCAATACTAAATCACGGAATGACATTTGATCACATTTTATTTTGATCTCATGTAAATTAGGTAAAAATTTTGCAAATTCATTAATGGTTTATTTACTTGGTTATATTTAAGATGCCAATATCTTTATATATTCAAATATTTGGGTATTTTAAATGAGTAAATATTAAATGACTATCCTTTATGTTTAAAGCCATATTTAATATTGTCTTTTTGAAGGATGGGTAGTCACTCTAGTCTTGAAGGATATGGTGATATGCCCTCTTTTCAAGAGACCATCACTGAACTTCTCCTTTCTGGACAATTAACACCTGGTTTGCAATCTATTCTTCTCTTTGTGAGGAAGACTGTGGAAGTTATTTAGGTGGCAGCTACAAATCTTGGAGAAATGATTTATCTTGGTTTCAGATAGAGATATAGTAGATGTAAGGATAGTTGTGCCTGTCAGTGATTTTTGTGGAGCTGGGATGGGAATGGTACATCCATCCTTGTGCTCCTTGATCACGCAGCAGCTTTTGATATCACTGACCACTGAATCCTTCTTAACCAGCTGCAGGGTTGGGAGTGGGAGTCACCTTGTTGTAGCAGCTCACCTATTTCCTCTGTGACTGTTTTCAGTTGGCAGTAATGGGAGATCATGTTCACAACCTCTCACTTGTAGAGCAATGTAAAGGTGTGTGGGAATAACCTTGAGAGATAGGAGGAAAAGCTGCAGGTTGTGGTGCTGCTATTGGTTGAAGCAAATTTTGTCCCAGTTGTTGTGTTAGTTGTATCATGATGTTCTGCAAATGCTTACTTGTATATCTACTTGTTGTTGGTTTTGCAGCAATCCTGCAATTTAGGGGAAGAGAAGTGGGCGCTGGGGATTGGAGGCCATTTTTAAAACTCTAAATGAAATCTTCTGCTTCTTTTAGGAAGAGGAAACTAGCAAGAGTGATCTTGCTCCTTGTAGTCCAAACAAGAAGCACCAACCATATACTAACACTATTTTTATTGTAAGGCTACAGTAAAAGAACCTTGCAAGTCTGAAAGCATTTTTCTCCTTCTATAATTTTACTTTCTAAAAAACTGGGAAGGTCCCTTCTAAGACACTTCCATATTCTTCTTCTGTGGGCTGAGATAACTTTCGAAGTTATTCCCACATTGTATTACAGAAACCCCAGGTTCAAAACTCTGCCCCTTCCTTGTAACATCTAACTAAACTGTTGGATGAGATTATCCATCAGTTCAGGTTTTGTTATCATGAGTACTCTAGTAATACCCAATTTTTCATTTCAACTCCAGGCTGCACAGGGGAAACGGTCAGTTACTAAATCTGTGTCTGGAGGCCATTTAGATCTGAATGGAGAGAAACAGACCTTTGCTCAAGCTGACAAGACTGAGTGGCTGTAGTATTGGGTTTCCCTGTGTTGGGTAGGTTTTCACTGTTGGTCTTGGATGGATTTGAGATTAGTAAGCAACTCTCTGGTCTTCTGGATTTGATGAGCAGGTGGCAGCTGACACACAAATTCATCTTGTGTGCCACTTGTCTCTTTTTCTCAACTATAGATAAGGTCCTATAGTTACTCATGCCCTGGTCATCTAACAATTGGAGTTTGAAATGTGCTCTACATGGGGCTGCCCTTGAAGATAATTGGAAAGATGCAGCTATTTCAAAATGCAACGGCCTGAGCAATCATAAGTATCTGTTATGCCCATGTGTTACTACACAAACTGCAGTGGTTGTCAGTTGGCTTCAGGGTGCAATTTGAAATATTGGCCCTTACCTATACAGTCCTTTATGGCATAGGAACTCATTTTCTTAGGGACCACATGTCTGTAATAATTTCTGCTTATTTGGTACATTCAGGCAAAATAGATATGCCCCAGATCCCCTCGATTAAGAACTGCCATTTTGGGGGATTGAAGAAGTGTGCCTTTTCTGTCTCTGCCCTCAGCATTTCCAAGAGAAGTATAGTGTTAATTTTCCTGGGACTCCAGGCTCTAAAGACCAAGCCTGGAGCTAGTGCCTCTATGGAACTCATCGGATTTTTATTGGTTTGGTTGTGTTTAGTTGGACTGTCACTTTTTGTTTCATGCTTTTAACTTTTAAAATCTGGATACTGTAAGTCACTCAGGTGTTGTGGGGTGGGCAATCATAATAAACTTAATAGAATAGAATAGAATTATTTATTGGCTAAGTGTGATTGGACACACAAGGAATGTCTTGATGCATATGTTCTCAGTGTACATAAAAGATACATTCGTCAAGAGAATGTATAACAAGTATACAAGAATATTACAACACGGAATACAGTAACTAACTGAATTTAGTTTTAATTGCTGTATTTCTTTGATCATAAGCTTACCTGATAACGGAGTAAATCCAAGTGCTTCTGGTATTCCTTGAGATATATGCTCCCTGATAGGTGTACTATGAAAGTAAATATCAGAATTGCCATCTGGTTCTTTGTTCAATGGGGAGACACAGAATGGTATTTTATTTTCCTTTTTGACAGATTTCTCTTCTTTCTCAGCTACAGATTTATTTTCTTCTAGAGAAGACAATATGCCCTCCGAGTCTTCTAAATTCGATTGCTTAGAATTGGTGGATACAAGTTGTTGCCAGGGAGGAAGTCCTGGTGAATCAGGAGAACTATAATTGGTACAATCTTCCTCTTTTTTATCCTTATCTATTGCTGCAGTGACAAGTGGTGTTGTCTTTACTTTAATGGTAGACTTACTCATTTCAGAGATATTTACACCAAACTTTTCCATGGTTTGAGGTGATGTGGGATTTGAAGATGAAAAACACAGATCTTCTAATTGTACAGCAGGTTTGCTTGGTATACCAGAATTCACAGCAACCTTGACTATCTGATGACATAGATTCTTAGGCAAAGACATATTGTTCAAACTCTCGCCAATCTTTTCTATTTCTATTGATTTGATGATAGCTCTTTTTTTTAAATATTCATAATCTTCTTTGGCTTGAAGCCATGACTGAATTTGCTGGTAGCTTGGTGCACATTTGCAAGGCATAATCACTATCTTTTTGTCATTAATTTTACGGGTGTTCCTTTGTTTTATATCAGTAGAGAATTGGCTATTTCGAAGGGGAGAACCAGGCCTAGGACTCTGTGCCATTGCCAAAAATGCAGTCTTCCAGAGTTGTAGTCCCTCCAAAGAGAAATCTCCTTCAAATTCAAGTAGATCATTTGGAAGTCTAGATTCTACTGTAAGTACTCTTCCTCCAATCTCTCTGTAAAAATAATTGCTTTAATTATTTTTCTCATATACAGAATTTATTTTACTAGTAGTCTTATTTTTCCTTATTCTTTCCATCCATTTAATATCATGCAACTATACATTTATTGTATAATGGAAGCTTTCCTATCTTCTATTGAAGCCCTCAAATCTATTCTAGAAGTCTTCAACCTCCAACTCAGATTTGAAAAGAACAGAGCGGTGAAGAAGAACAGAGAATCTGATTTACCAGGAAAAAGTACTACCTTCAATACAAAACTACTGTATACAATAAATAAACATACAAATATACAATACATAATAAAATATGGTTAAATTACCTAAGCAAAAGAACAAACTTAAGTCAATATCCTTTAGGTTCTAAGATAATAAATCCAAGGTAGTAAAGTTAATAATTGACTATGAATAATTTTGTTGATACCCAAGAATATTTTTCTAAAATGATAATTTATCGAGTTTCATTTAAATACTTCTGAGTAATACCCAATCATTCCTACATGTTATGTTCACAATGATTATTTAACTACACAAATAAACAAGAGTGTGTTACATTTATAGCTGAAATTTAATTGTGATTCTATGTAACTCTAACCTTCACCTTGTAGGCCTGATAGGTCCAGAAAGGAAGGCTATATTAAATTGTATCCAACTTTTTAATTCTTATGTAAAAATGTAAACATTTCTATTGATATAAAAAAGAGAAATATGATTACAGAAAGTCATATTGACTATCTATATAACATCATTACCTTGGCTTTTCAGGTACATCAGAGGGGTTGCTGCAAAAAGGTTCTTGATAAATTGTTTCTGCCAGATCATGATCTAATAAAGTTGACATGATTTCTTCACGACTAGGAGGTGACATTAGAGGTTTAAGGATGTGAGCAGCACGAGCTGTAGAACTTCCATTTTTTGACTGTGATGGAGAGCTTGTAGATCTAGGTGAACTGTCAGGGGTTGCTGTTAATCCCTCATTGTTTCTTGAAATATACAACTCTAAATCTTCAGAAGCAGCATCTATAAGTTCACCATCCGGAGAAGATAAGATAGAAGAAAAAGAAATACTAACTGAATCAAGCAATTGCCCAGGTTCAGAAATGACTTCTTTTCTAAAGGGATTTTGACTCCAATCACCATTTGGAGATGAAAGATTAAGAAAAATTGCTTTCTTCATAATATGTCTATCCAACTGAAGTTGTTCTTTATGGCACATTTCAGCCTGCTGACCATCTGCTGGTGAACCAGGTTGAGATGTAGGTGGAAGAATGGTTTTCCACTGATTGTGGAGAAGATTTTCATTGTTTTCCAGACATCTTTTATCAAAAAGTTGAGGACTATGTTGGCCAGATCTTAACCAAGATTGAGGATCTGAATTATGTATATTTTCTTCCTTAGGTATTTTATTATGATTTAAAAATTCAGTTTCTGCTGCTTGACCTGGATAATGATCCTGAGCTACATCACTCAGAAACTTCTGTGGTAAATTTTGATCTGCTGGGACAAATTGACTTGCAGAATACAAACTACAAAATCCAGTCTGCCCTATGGCATTAATATCAAAATTGTAATTATGATCAGGTGACAGACTATCTTCAAGTGAGTAACAGCTTTCAAAACCAGCATCTGAATAAAGAATGGAACTATCAGCAGGTGTAACATGGCCAGTTTTATTATTTAGTTGTTTTGCTGTGTCTTTTAAAAGCTTGACCACCTTTTCTTTAGATTTTTTATCCCTAGGAATACGAGGTTTTCTTGAAGATGCAACAGAACAAGTTTTTTTAGCTGGTTTATTTGAATCAAGAGGGAAGGAGGCATCTATGTTCGACTGAGATTTAGCTGATGCTTGTCCATGAATGTTGTTCATCTGCATTTTCTGTTGTCTCTTTTGGAGTAATTCTTTCAGAACTGCTAAGCCAGAATGTCCTTCAATGATTGCTGAAGGAGTTACCAGACCCTTGCTCTTACATTGAGAATCTGTTTGGGCTTGAGATATTGTTTCTGACACTACTTTTTGTTTTGTATTTTTTTCAGGGCTAAAATGTGACACATCCAATATAAATCCCTTCTGTTTCTGTTCCCATTCTGATTTGTTCACTGGACTTCTTAAAGAAGCTACAAAGCATTTTTTTTGTAACTGAAACGATCCATGGCTTTCCTCAGGTTTTAAAAAAGAAGAAATATGATCAGCATGCTTTGTTGCTTCTGACAAATGAACTATTTGCTGCTGATTATCTTTGCAACGCAGGAAATTACCAGGATGAATCTGATCACTATTGATCACATCAGAAGAAGAGTTTTCATTTACTTTTCCCACAGAGGATAAAAGTTTGTTTTGTGAATTTGAAACTTCTTCTGTCTTTTTAAGTGCATCCTTAGAACTATATGCCTTCAGTGCTACCTGAGATATATAGTTACACTGGTCATATACATTATTCTGAATCGAGGATTCTTCCATCCTAAATATACCACTCTGACTATTAGATCTTTGGAAATTTATTTTGGCTTTTTCCCTTCCAGATATCAGAGAAGCTAAGCCTGGATGAAGATCCTCTGTCAAACTGGAACCTTGGTGCCCAATAGGCTTTTCATTTTCCAACAATGATTGGAAATAAATCAATGGATTTACTTGGGCTTTAGCTGTTAATGAAAGCTGTGCTGAAGGTGGGTGTCCTGTAGAACAGCCAGTTGATACAATCTCTTTTGTAAATGGTTGTGAATTTCCCAGGTTGTGAACGTTCTCAGGTAAATCCCAGGGGTGTGGTGCAAGTTTAAGTTCTGCTACAGGAGAAATACTATTTTGACCATCTGCAATCTTCACCAATGTTGAAACTTTTTTAAATTTTTGTTTCTGTTTTGATCTTGGCTTTTTCTTCAAATTATTTCTAGGTTTATTAGACTGATTGCTTTTTTTGTTGCTTCTTATAGTAGCATTAACAAATTGCTTTCTACATTTTTTAATCTGAGTTTTTGACTGAACATGTTTTCCCACATTGGAATTAACAGTTTTACTGCTGAACCTGTTAGTATTTTGAAACACTAATGTTTCTTTTTCTAGATTACACACAATTTCTTCGGCATTTGGGTTAGTGGGAGACCAGCAACGGGGTGGGGATACATTAACTGGACTTGCACTTCTTTCTGACAGAAAACCTAATTTAGACATAACATCACTATAATTCAAGTCACAGTCTTCAGTTTCAGCACTGTATGATGGCAAAGGAGGGGAAAGAAAGGCATGAGTCCTTTTTCTGAAATACAGGGTTCTTCTAATAGTTTTACTTTTTATATTTTGTGGTTTCCCACCCAGCCTTTTCTTGGTGGACTTACATTTTGCTTTTCTTTTGTTACTTTTCTTTGGTGTTAATGGATAAATAGGATATTTGGTTGCAGGTGAATCAGGAACTTTTGGCCAGAAGTCCTTCAAAGGTGCAAGCTTCTTATATAGATTCATTCTCTCTTCAGTAAGAAATACTTGTTCTTCACTAGAATCTATTTTTCCCAGCTTAACAAGCATATTTTTCCGCCCCCTGAACCTATTAATAATAATATATTTTATAATAACAGGTGGCAATTTTCTTGAAAGTCGCCTTCGTTTTCTACATTTTTTAGAACCATCCACATTTTCATCATTTTCTACAGAATGAGGTAGCGTGATTTTTGAATTATGTATGCCCAAACTAGATTCACTGTCTTCAGTTTCGTAATTTATTTTACGTTTAGCTCTGAGTGTATATTTATTACCACACAGCCCGAAGGTTTGCTCAGATTCTTGAGCAAAATCTTCAAAATGACAATCAGTATAGCTCCTGGTGTCTGTGGATATTTTGTTTTCAAAAACTGTATGATGAACTTGAGTATCATTTGGTAACAAAATGTCTCTATCAGATATATTGCTACTTGCATTATCTTGGACATAGCAGCTTTCTTTTGCGGCTAAGGCATCCGTGGCACTTGCAGACCGCTGATTGCCAAGAACCATTTTCTTTTTATTTCGTTTTAGCTTAGACTGTTTTTTGCCATGTTGCAGTTTGTATGTCACAGGGCCCAACTTCTGCGGCTGATTGAGACAATTAGAAAGAACTACACTAGGAAAGAACATATAGTGTGTTGCCTGTTGATTTACATTTATTTTTTCAGTCTCGTGTTCCTCAAATTCTTCATATCTAAGTTTAAAGTTATTAAGGCTATCTCTGTCAGTGCTTTTTTCAGAAGAAAGAATAAGAGTCTGATTACTCTCTGAGCAAGACATAGTTTCACAGTTTACTGGTGCTGGGAAAAGGCTATTTAAATCGGTAGAGTTTGCTTTTATATTTATTTCAGAAGATGTTTTATTTTTGGAATAAACTAAATCCACAAAGTTAGACTTCTTTGTTAGAATATTTTCACTAATTTGGTGGTTCATATGCTGAGATACATCCTTTGCAACCTTTCTAATTCCAGTATACTTTCTGCTAGGCAGGTGTCTGCTTACAGAGGAGATGTCTTCACACAAAACAGGGCCTTTTTCACTTTTATTATTTTCCTGATGTAGCTTTTCAGAATGGAGGATATTGTTGAAGGACGCTGGGTATTTCATGTTGTAAATACTTTCATTTGAAAGAGAATGGATTGATAAGTCAGGTCTTATATCTATCATGCTTGGTTGAGTAAGACCTTCTAAGTCATTAGTATTCAAAACATGAGAAGAAAGGGCACTTGTGTGTTTACACTGAAAAGTTATTTTGGCAGATGATGGGGGTTCCAGAATAGCAGCATCTTTATGAAAAATTGTGGTCTTTACAGTTTTGCTTGTTGCAATTGCAGAGGTGTGGGTCCGAGAAACTTCATTGTCTAAAGGATTGTCTAGAACAGAACAGATGATTTTTTTTTACTATTTTTTCTCTGAAGTTATATTATTTAAACTATCAGCAAGTATAAAAGCATATAGTTAAAGAAATTCTAAGATAATCAAGCAGTACATAATATGGTATGAGAGATACTTTAGATAACATTCATATAAATTCACAATATTTATAACAAGATTATGGAAAGTCCCTAACTTTTGACAACTACATTAATTCTGGCTACTTAATTTTTGATTGGTGAACCACTTGAAAATATTGGCTCAATGTTATTGGGGTGGTTGAAAACAAACTCAACAGGTTCACCTAAACCTAACTTTGTGATATATGTGGGACAAATATATGTGACACAGAGATTATAATGAAGAACTATTGTTTCTGTGAAAAATGCAACTTACAAAACCCTTTTAAGTATACTTACCACCATTTTCATCTGCAGTTCCATCTAATTGAGGTATAGAAAGGCTTGCTAGAAGCACATTATCATTCCAGTCCATATCATCTTCAGAAGAACTATCATCTTCACCTGAACTTTGATTTCTACTTCTGCCCATTGACCTACAAGAAATACAACCTATTTTACACATTTAAAAACTTTTGACTACAATCTGGTAGTTCAATAATTATAACACATTGAATCTTGCACAGAAAAGACAAATCTACAAAATTCACTTTCCAGGTTGATGACAGTCTGATGAGTATTATTGTTGTGATCAGATAATTTCCTACTCAATCTAAGACTGTATTCCCTTCCTGGGCAAAGTTACTGAGGTGAAATAGCTGTTAGACTGAAACTAAATTTCTAGATAAATTTCAACTACAGTTTAAGTTTGAATAACAACTCTCTTCTCCATTTACTATTAGAAGGCTTTTGCTGAGACATAGGTAGGCAAAGTTGATTCTTTACTATTTTTAATACAATTTATCAGAGCATACTATAGAGATGCTTTAAATTTAATCGTACCTGTTTTAGTGAGTTGCAAATAGATGCTACACGTGTCTTCTAACGCATCTCTTTCAAATGAAGCATTGCATAGGTTTATTTCTTCCCTCCACCAATAGGCTCGAGGTTTTTGAAAGTATGACAATTGGGGCCAAATAATATTTAGAGAAAAGCAGTGTGACTATACTTTAATTAGGACTTCTATATTACCTTGCTTAAAGTTGTATCTACTGCATATTAGATTGACTAAGTTTACATTTATTCCTATACCTTGTCCTACAGATATTTTCAGATATTAGATCATATAGATTACATAAATTTTCTTCAGTAGCATGGAAGGTTCAACAGAGATTGATCAGTATTTTTATTAAATACCCAATTGTACCAATAAAGAATATACCTTCTCTTTGCATCAACATCATTTGAGCTGCTGTCCCATTGTTGGGACATTAGCAAACTGAGCTCCATTTCTTCTTTTTCAATCTGTGGCTCATTTTCTTCATCATCACTATTCTGAAGATTTCTATAATGTCCAGAAGAATAATGCTGTGATGATGCATTTTGTTGTACCATCTCATATCCATCATCTTCCAATCCAGCTAAAAGGTGAATCATGGCTTGATCAGCACTGTTATTCACTATAGGAAAAAAAAAATTGTATTTGATTTTTTTAAACAACCTGTTAAAAAACAATATCTGCATTGGTTTTTGTTTTAAAACCTTACAATCTCAATGCTATAGATGAACAAAAACACACAAGATTTTTCATTTTTATTATCATTTGTCTCATGTATCCTGACGTGTTTACTGAATGGTGGGATACAAGCAATAGTATGTTGACTTGCATATTCCATGTTGAGTACAAATCAATTTCTTATTTATTTAATCATATGATGATGATGGTACATTAGCCAAGAGACTACAGGGCTAGTACAGAGTAGTTATTTGACTCCCTAAGGCTGCTAGTCCATTTGCATGCACCACAGAGGGTAAACTAGCTCTGCACTCAGAATGGTAAACAGTGTTCTTCAGTGTCATCTAGGGCTTTTCCCCTGATGTTGCCTCGCAATTGGGGGTTGCATTTAGGTAAGTCGTGCACCAGTTGAGATTGTACTTTCATACGAAGTGCCATTATTTTTCCCACTGAAGTGGTACCTATTTATCTATTTGCATATAATGTGCTTTTGAACTGCTAGGTTAGCAGAAGATGAGGCAAGTGATGTGAGCTTACTCCCTCATGTGGTACTAGCACTTGAACTGCTAGAGCAAAAACCATCTCCAGGTTTTAATCCACTAAACTAATACACCTTTTTACAAATGAATGGTGACAATGGAAAAAAAACAGCTATGAGTTGGGGAAAAACTGGGCCACCTTCTGAATGAATGCAACCTGGAAGAACAACATATGTTAGATGATATGAATGGACTAATGGGAACCAGACAAGAAAATGCAGAAAAGTAATTTAATAAGTGTTTTTCAGAAAAAGGTTCATTTGTTTCAAATTCTTGGCTTCAGCATATTTATACGTACATATAGCAAAGGAAGGGATCTAAAGCATTATTTGTTATAAAAGATTGAGAGAATTAGTGAAGAACACCAGAAAGAAGAGTTATTTAAAGTTGGACAGCCACATCTGAATGTGCTAATAATGGATTTGTGGGGAGGGGTAGATATGGAAAAAGAGACATGAAGGAAAATAAAATGAAAGAATGACTGAATAAGAGTATAAGTTTAAATACTACAAGATAAATTCCAAGGGAGAATATGCAAAAGGAACATACAGAAAAAGTTGTCGAAAATACTTGAATTAGTATTAAAATATGGCTTTAAAGAATGCTATCAAAGAGAACAAGGGTGAGAGGAAGACAAATATGATATTAATGGAAATAAAAATTATATCAGAAGTGGGTGAAAAGGATTTAAACAGTCTTCAGAAGAGTGTACAGAAATGATGAACTTATTTGGGAGGAAACTGAAGGAAATATTTTAGCAATTTGCAAGGAAATGATAGTGATATGTTGAAGAATGCTATTGAAAGAAATATTACAAAATGTCCATGTCCAGGAAAGAAGTCGATGAAAATGCAATGTAAAGGTTGAAACACTGTAAGTTTACAAGATCAGAAAAGGTACCCAGGGATGAGTGATAAATGTTGTGTAAATTTGGCTGACGACATTGGGGCATTGAGAGTCAAAAGAGTGCATAGGAGTCATGGGGGAGTGCTAAGAAGTGCCATGACAGTCACGTAAGGTCCATAGGAGAATAACAAGGGTCAAGAAGGGTGCATGAGAGTGCCATGATGGTCACGGATGGCATGTGAGGAGGTGATGTGGGTTGCATCAGAAAAGGTACATGTGACTAGCATGGATTGGGGATGGTGCATGAGAATATACAAGAGGTGCTACATGGATTGGGAAAGGCATGTGGTCAGAGCAGGTCAAGGAAAGTGTATGGGCAACAGGTCTGGGGCAATACAGAGAAGTGGCATGGATTGAGAATGATGCATGGTGGTTTCTTCATCCCTTCTTTCCTTCCCCCCTCCCTTTCTAGCAGGTAAGTAAGTGGCTGCTGCTGGATAGGGGGGAGAGCAAGTATTGGAGAGAAACTGGCCAAGCTAGGGGGAGGAGTCAAATGAATAATTAGTCTAGAAACCCTATATGGGCACAAGAAGGCAAAGGCCAACCCCCTCCTTAAATGCCATAAACCTCTAGAAAAAGTACAGGGAAGAGCAACCAGGATAATTAGGAGACTGGAGACTAAAGCATATGAAGAAATGTTACAGAAACTGGGCATGGCTAGTCTAGTGAAGAGAAGGACCAGGGGAGACATGAGAGCAGTGTTCCAATAGTTGAGGGGCTGCCACAGACAGGAAGGAGTCAAGCTATTTTCTAAAGCACCCAAAGGCCAGACAAGGAATAATGGATGGAAACTGAACAAGAGGAAATAAGGAGAAACTTTCTGACAGTGAGAACAATCAACCAATGGAACAGCATGCTCTCGGAAGTTGTGGGAGCACCATCACTTGAGACTTTTAAGAGTTTGGAGTCCTATCTGTCAGAAATGGTATAGGGTCTTGTGCTTGGGCAGGGAGTTGGACTAGATGACCTACCAGGTCCCTTCCAACTCTGATTATCTGTTTAATCTGAACCTTATCTACTCTAACCAAGGTACAAACTTTCAGTCTGAAAGTTGAAAATTCAGTCTGAAAATTCCTGTGTATAAGCTTGAGAAATAAACAGCTAACTAAACTCTTCCCATGTGTATCTGGTTGCTCATGCCTGACAGCAAGGGACTGCAAGAATGGTTGGGAAACTATCATGGAACATTGAAAATGAAAATCAAATGACCACAGTAGCAGCAAGTAGCATTGAAACAGCCACAACTTCCCCGAATGTCATTCCTTTGGGAGTCACAGGTCCCAGATTTTGGACATGTTTTAAGTTTATTCAGCTATACTTCACATTTCTAAACTTCCTGTCTCCCTCAAAGAAGCACTCTGGTCAGTGTATAGTAAACATCAAAATCTAAAACTGTATGTAAACATTAAAATGTTAAAAAATTTAGAATTAAAATTTTTAAAAAGTTATTAAAAAATTAAGGAGGCAAAAAAACCCTTATTAAAAATTAGTTGCCAAAGGCAAAAGGAAGGCGTTCATGGAATCTACCAACTCTACAATTGCATGCTCCTTTGGATTTCCCACAGACCTCTGTTTTAACTCCTTTTCAGATCAGGAGGTTGGGGGCCTCAGCAAGAGCTTTGTGTGTGTGTGTGTGTGTGTGTGTACACATAAAAACACACACACACACACACACACACACACTTATTTATTTTTTAAAATAAGTCTGGAGATCACAGAAATAAGAGAATAAAAAACCAAATATTTAAATATCAATAAATATGGATGGAAAGGAAAGAGAAAATAAAAAGTTATATTTGGATAGAACTGATGAGAACTTTAAAGAATAATCAGGAATGTGTGAATAAGTTTAAGGAAGTGGATAGAAGCAATTATAATTTGCAAGAACAGAGAAGAATAGAGGGGCATAGTATTGTAAAAAATAATTTCCTTTTCTCCAACTTTTTGCCTTGAATTTCTTTTGCTTAATAATTCTTATTCTTTCCCAACATTTTAGTTATGTGTATAATGTGATGAGTATTGAAAAATACAAACAAAATGCATGGATATACTGTAAATAATAAAAATGGAACACACTAATTATTCTTATAGTACTTTTTAATTATCTGATTTCCTGGTCTTTTAAACAAGCAAGACAAACAGGGTGATTAATATAATAAAGTCACACAAATTATTATAACCAAAATAATTAAAACACTTTAATATCTATGTCTAAATATTCTTAATCCTTACTTAGAAAAGCCTTTGTGAATTATACTTACTAAACACAGGAGTATTATTAAATCTCTGAGATACGGGTTGGAAATATTGACTATTTTCCATTATATTCAAAATGGCTTCTTCATTTATAAGTGCATCCTCTTTATATTTGCTCTCAGACTCTTCTAAAAAATGAACAAGGATTCTAGGTAAGCTGCCAATATTGTTTCAAAATATCACAAGACTATCAAATTCTTACAATGTGCATTTACATTTTTTGAAGATATAATATATTGGGAACATGCTTGTGGTTCAAGAGAAGTAAGATGTATTTATACTCCATTTTAATAAAGTGGTCCATAAAGCAGCTTTCTTTTTCTTATCTATTTGTTCTTTTTGTATATACATTCGTTGTCTCTTGTTTGACTGTGCCCAACTCTTGGGAGACTGCCCAGACAAGCCCCAGCACTTTTCCTGGCAAGGTTTAGCACTGCCTCTTTCCCAGGATAAAGAGAAAGTGGCTAGCCAAAGTCACCTGCTGGCTTTGTGCCTAAGGTAGAACTAAAACTGACAATATCCTGGTTTCTACCCTGGTATCTTAACCACTACACCAAGCAGGCTTTCATATTATATATTACATATACATACTACATATACATATGTAATACATATTACATATTATATACAAATATATGTACTAAATGCTGAGTAGCAATAAATGTGAATGTTATTTTCTTCAGCAGACTGGAATTAATCAATACATCTTATATATAAATCTTAACAGAATTTGTTGAAAATTTAACAAATAAAATATGTTAAAATGTTCTATCTTAATTACCTTAATACTACCAATATTCCTAATAACACATGTAGTTATAGCATGCCATGTATATATATTTGTCTTCATCATAATTCATCATAAGCCAAAGTTAAATAATCAAGATACTACCAATAATAAAAAAGCATATTAACATTAAATAGGATTATAGACACTCATGAATATTCACACAAAATATATCAACAAATTGGTAATAAAGGATAAAATAAAATGCAGATGAGCATGAAGATCAGTCTCTCCAGTGGAAGCATTCTTGTGTTCATTTCAGGACCTTCTTCCATTCTGATTCTAATAGGACAAGTCATTTAATGGAGGAAAACAACTGCTGTATTGATAATACTAACCTCTATGCAGCTCCTTATCACTGTGTACTTCTATCATATTTGCTGGTGAACATGAAACAACTTTAGGTATCTCAGACTGTAATGTCAATTCAGCAGAGAATTCTTGTGATTCATTATTGCTGTCCATTGAGCCAGATGTCCTAATTAATAATTTTTAAAAAATTAACGTGATTGTTGAATTCAGAGGTAAAAAGATAAAGATTAACATATAAATTAATACTTACATAGAAAAATCACTTTGCTTGAGTATTTCTTTAAGTCTCTTCTGAAAGATTCTTTCACTTTCTGTTGCAGCCACAAATCCACGATCTTTTTTTCATGAAAAAATGTGAGGAATTTAGAGTCACTACATTAATATTCTCTCCCCTTAAGAATTGTTATTAAATATTTTAACTGAAAATAAAGCAATATATCACCTGTAAATTGCCATGCCCATCTAAAAAGTAATAATAATCTGAATCTACACCTATGTAGATTCTATTCAGAAGTTCTGAACAGAACTTTTCTGATATATCTACAAAACATGTATTGGTATGTACTGACATATGACTATTACAAATAGTTATATATTATTTTAATATATTAATATGTAATAATATATATTAGGAAAGTGACCTAGGTCTCAACAGTGTTGAAAAAATGGACTTGTGTGCAAAATTATGGCTGTTGCAGCACTTCTAACTTGAGGCCTTAACCATTACACTAAACTGGCTGTTAGGAGCAATAATACTGACACAAAATGGTGCAAGATTTTAAATTATTTGAGGAAGGTAACATAAAATGAAGAACAGAAGCAAAATATACACAAATTAGGCAATGAATTTTAGCCATGAGCTTCAGAGTAATTCTTGTCAATGTAACTGTGAGACATAGGTGGGCAATTAATTTTTCCAAAGGCTACAAGAGAACTGGGACTATTGTGGAAGACTAGACCAACAGAGCTGTGAAAGTGCAATAGATACGCATGGACGCACATAGACAAAAAAAAAGTAGCAGTCACCTTCAAAATAAAAGCAATGCAATTGTATTGCATGCATGGCATATACTTATTTGCATTTAATTTCTAATTTTGAGCTCACATGGGCTGGAAAGGGACAGCCAAAGGGCTGGATGTGGGGATCAAAAAATGTCCAGGTCTGCTGTTAAGATATTAAACTAACACATTCTTGAATTTTTAGCATCTTACCCATGCAATTTACTTATACATCACTTCTTAGATACAACACTTTGCAAAATATAGCACTGCATTCATATTATTCTAACTTCAAGAACAATTGCTTTTTCTTTACTATTTCTGCTTTTTTGGACCTAAGACTATACTGGTAATAGAAAATGAAGATGGAGTTTAAAATAAAATGAAATATAATCCAATGAAAACATATGAAAGCAACAGGTAAAGAGGGAAGAAATTCAGAAAATGTTATATTATGTAATACATTAAATTACAATATTTTTATATCCCGCCTTTCATTTAGTAATACACAATAGCAGAATCCAATCAAAATTAGACATTTTGGTCCAACAATTCTACCTTGTGAGTTAGGAGGAGTAATTTGTGATGACTCTTTGTTCTTCCTACGCCGCTGTTTCTCATCCTCCCATATTGCTTGTAACCCTGGATTCTGACCAATCTGGGCTAGAACAGAAAAGATGCAGCAGAATCAATGGCAGTTTCAAGAGCTGCTGCAGCGCAGTGGTTAGAATGCTGTACTGCAGGCTATTTCTGCTCATCACCGGCTACCAGTAGTTTGGCAGTTCGGGTCTCACCGGCTCAAGGTTGACTCATCCTTCCAAGGTTGGTAAAATGATATTCCATGGGTTATGATATTTGCTAAGGTAAATATGTATCCAGATATGCCAACGTAAGAATTGTTGTGGGCAATATTGTTGGGGGCAATGTGCTGACTCTGTACTGTTTAGAGAAAGCTATAAAGCACTGCAAAGTGGTATATGTCTAAGTGCTATTGCTATTAAGACATAGTTTTACAAGAGTTGAATAGCAGCATTGAATAGCAATACTGACAAAAATCTGCCCTCCCTCATGTTTATCATGTTAGGCTTATATTTCACCATTTACCCAGAAACTCAAGTGATAACAACTGACCTAAAATCACCCACTATGATTTTGTAAGCTTTAATGATTGAAGATGGACTTGACTGGGTACAGTTTAGCACCTTCCCTACTGGCTATCAAACAAGTTATTTATCTTTTTTCTTATAAAATATATTATTGTTTAATGGAAGTCAAATATTTTAAGTGAAAGAATTATACACTGAGCTGCAGAAACAACAATCCTGAAAAATACCATGTGATCACATAAAGAAAAATACTTTTACCTTCAATATCCAATCTATTTAAAATATCAGCAGCTACTGCATCCACTTCCAATTCACAGGTACTCTGTGGCTCTATATCTTCCAATATCAAAGAGCTGCATTTAAATTAAAGTTAAAAAGAGTATATTATGTTGTATTTTTTTAAAAAATGTATTATATTTAAAAACAGGAATTATATGTAAAGTTTTATATAAAAATACAGAAATAATCACAGATTTACAATGATTTTAACTTTGGTTCAACTAAAGATGAGAAGCATTAGATATGTACAAATGATAATTTCCTTCCTATTCCACCAGTGCCTAACAACACAAAAGTAGGGGCTAAAGGTATTTGTAAGCCCTGGAGAGCAAGATATATATGAAAAAAACCAGACTGACATGTCACAATCATAATTCCTGCTAACATTGCTAAAAGCCAAGGGATGAAGAAGTTGCAATTTCAAACATTTGGAGACTATCAGAAGTGAGTGTGCACATGCATGTACATAGGCTGACTATAAGTATTAGAGACAAATGTTTATTCCAGTTACATTGCTGGAAAAATGTGTCAGCAGCCATAAAATATATGAGAAAATTGGGTCAAATGTCATAACTTTTCAAAATAGTATCAATTATTTAAGAGATGCTGAAGTCCAGGACAATTCTTTCATTAACACATTCTAAGTAAATAAGAATACATGGGTGCTATGTTCTCAGAAGGCTATCTCTATCCTAGTATATAAAACAAAATAAATTCAAAATTAAAGGAAGAACTTTGATTGTAGCCCTCTGATTTGGATTTGTGGCCCTACCAATCAGTCAACCGACAAGTTTAATTTGATTAAACTAGTTAAACCTGCAGCCATATTTAGTACTAATATATGTATGTAGGTATCCCATGGGTTAGGATACTTGCTAAGGCAAATATGTATCCAGATATGCCAACCTAGGAATCTGATTATCTTCCCGCTGATGGGGTCTGGTAGCAGATCTTGTCCAATTATCTCTGCAACTTCCAATTTCTTCAAATGCATCACCTATATATAAAACATGGCCAATATGTTGTATTAGAAAACATGCCTCTTTATTTGAATCTTTATATGTACATATATAAAACATTTGAAATACTGCTTATTTAACAAAGTTTATTATAGATCATTTATTGGCAAAACCCTGTAATAAAATAAGCATGGAATTAAATAGAGTTTTAAGTTAATCCTCATCTGCATTTTGTTTGCTGCATATAAATTTATCTAAAAGTCTTTTAAATTAAAAGATCATTGGAAGTGCAAAAGTATATCTAAGAAATTATCTCATTTTCAGAGAAAGTTATTAATTCTTAACTTTGAGGGTTTGAGATGCATGGTAGTAGCTGCCTTTGAGTTATTTAACAAAACAAATCTGTATATTTGTAACAACACAGCCACATCATAGATGCCATCTTACAAGACTATTAAATTACTTATTCATGATGATGTCTATCTTCCATAAAGAAGCAGCAATTGACAGCCAAATAAGAGCAGAAAAACAACCTTCCTTATGTTATACAGGATCCCAAAGGGAATAATCGGTATTATGGCAGGAACGTAAGAAACATGAGAACAATTTACAAGAGTGGAACAAACTTTATGAAACTTATTCTTACATTCAATTATTAGCATATTTTACACAAATATACTATGACAGACAGTCCTCGCTTAACAACTGTTTTGTTTAGTGACCATTCAAAATTAGGATGACACTGAAACAGTTAACTTTATGACTCACCCTTGCACTTATGACCATCACAGCATCCTCATTGTCACATGATCAAAATTCAGGCATTTTACAATCAGCAGGCATTTATGACCATTGCAGTGTCCTGCACAAATATGACCAACATTTATGCACTTCACAGCCAAGTTCTGACAAGCAGAGTCAATGGAGAAGTTGGCAGTAAAATTGCAAGCCACAATCATATGATATTTTGTTTAATGATCGTAAGTACTTTGCTTGACTGTGGAAGAAATGGCATCATAAATCTGGTACAGTCAAGTTATTTTTCACTTAATGACTGTGTTACTTAGGGACAGATTTGGCAGTTCCAATTGTGGTCATTAAGTGAGGACTAACTGTAATTCAAAAATATGTCTATCTCTGTGTATTAGAAAATTAATATATTTCTTCATAAGCCAAAGCTTTAAAGTACAGTACTGGCCATATCTGTTATGACTACATCACAAACTTATATATATAAAACTGGCAGAAAATGGCTTTTAAGAAATTAGCAATATTCAGGTAAAATATGTATCTTCCCAAAAAATCACTTTCTTTCTCCCCCACAGAACCCTTAGAATTATGTATATCCTCATTTCAGGCCTTAAATCTAGCTGTAGTATCCATTATGGCAGACTGAGAAACCAAGAAATCTGCAGAAAACCTCTCTCATGTAATCAAGTAAATTACATGCATGAAGTACAGTATGACTTGAGAATATATTTATGTTTTTTAAAACAAGAGCTAACAGATTCTAAATCCATTTTTTCAACCAATTGCAGAAACCTATAAAATGCTGTTCAATATTTGTTTTCCAACTATTAACTTCTGACAGAAGAATGAAATACCCATTTTCATCAGTGATTTCACACATAAAAAAGCTATTTTGAGAAATCTCTTAATAAATACGGCTGTTATCTAAGGCCAAAACACACTGAGAATGGCATAGTGATTATGAAAAAAACATATTATTGTACCTGAAGCATCTATTAGAGAATACTTTAATAATTATAGACACCAAATGAAGAACTATTGCAAGACAGGTGTAACAAAAAACAAACTGAAGATCCAAAAGAAAGAAAACAATCAAATAGGAGAAATAAAAAGACTTGGCTCTACCCTCAAATTAGAAGATAGCACTATATAAATTTCTATATAATATTTCAAAATAGTACAAAAAATAAAGAATACTTGAGAGTCATTTTCTAGGGAATCCCATAATGTACACAGTTATTGTTTACCCTTTGCTTGGTAACTGAGGGAATAATTGTCAGGTACAAACAATCAGACCCACGTTTGAAGAGTTCAATCACAGTGGTACCTCGGTTCTGAAGTCAGACTGGGTTCTGCTGTTCTTCCTGCAGGGTTCAATCCTCCTTGATACTTTCCATATGAAAGCTTTCTCCATTCTTCATCACTTTCACTGTACTGTAGCTATTCTCTTTCAAATGACAACTACACAGACTGGACTAATATATTGTATCTATCTTTTACATTTATCTATTGTACACCATGGTTGGTTAAGTAATCACAACAACTAAGTTCAGGAAGTCATGTGCTTATTTTTTATACATGAGGAACTGCTGCTGTTTCATACATTAAAACAGCAAGAAGGGTACAAAGTTTAAAACAATGGAGAAATCAGCCATTATAGCTGTAATTTTTTATTCTGAAAGAAGAGTGAAAATCTTGGATTATACACCCAGCAGCTATTAATGTGAGAATAGTGTGGAACATAAGCAATTAATACAACGGCAACCATTATTTTCTTTAAATTACTATCCACAATTTACAGTTTATTCTAGAGGCTGAATTGTCTGAATATGTTTGAGATAACTTCCATACCTTTTTTCTTTATTTTTCTAAACTTGACCGCAGCCAGATTGATTAAATTCATTCCATATAAATTATAATCTATAAAGAGCTGAAGGAGGTAGGGAATATGAGCTTCATGAGGTTGGTAAATTTTATTCATTATAGCTCCACCTTGTAGAAGCTCGCATACTCTAAATAAATAAAAAAAATCATCAGTAGTATTTCAACATTATTTTTAAAGAAATATTTAAACATGGGAACAATACTGAACATAAATGGATTACAGCAGTTTTCTGATATCTGTACCAAGAACTTCAGCTACACATATAATCTTTTAGATAAACAAGATAAAATGAACCTAAACACATGTGTTTGTGGTATCTACAGATGTCTGTGTCTAGCTGTTCAAAATATTTGTTCTGAGCAAAAAGAAAATTCACAGCGCTAGATCTCACAAAAGGGCCCAGATTTTTGGTCTAAGTTGTTGCAGTCATTAAGTGGTGCCCTGATCTGATTTTACAACCACTTTTACAACAGTCGTAAATTGAATCACTGCAATCATTAACCAAATCACATGGTCATTAAGCAAATCCAACTTATCTAGTGGGTGGAGGTTTTTTGCTGCAAAATGACAAGAACCATTGCAAATCATAGTCATGTGGCAGTGGGATGCTGCAACTGGTTGTAAATGAGAGCCAGTTGTCAAGCGTTGTCATGTGTTTGTGTCAGTCATAACCAAGGACAGGTTGTGACTTTTGTTGAGTCCATCATAATTAAAGCCATGGTTAATTAAAAGCAGAAACAAGAACAGATGTCTTCTTTGTGACTGAAGCAAAGATTAGTTCGGGGAAAATAATAAATAAGCACAAGTTTCACAATAGTGTATATCGTAATAAGTCACAGATTATAGTTACTGTTGTAACAGCATTCAAAATTATGGCACTTTTTAAAACTTTTTTTCTACTGGCCAAGGGTTGCAAGAAACACAGCAATGATGTTACTGTATTAATGAAAGCAGAATTTTTTACTGAGTTTATCCTTTTGAAGATTAAAGTTATCTATTAATTATGCAAATTAAGCCTTTCTATATTTTGCTACTGAATGTTGCAAAAACCAACTACCTGGGGATGAGGGCAGGTAAAATGGAGGCAACAAATTTGGTATCTGTATTATATGGTAGGGGCCGTAATGGTGCAGAGATCAGAATGCAGTATTGCAGCCTAACTCTGCCCACACCCAGGAGTTCAATCCTGACCAGCTTAGCGTTCTATCCTTCGAAGATCGGTAAAATGAAGACCTGAAGACAATATAGAGACATTTGAAAACTGCTCAGAGACTGCTGTTAAGCAATATGGAGTGGTATATAAGTACTAAGTACTATTGCTATCTACAACTCACAATACCTCTGTGCATACAGGTAGTCTTTGACTTACAAGTGTAATTGGGATCAGAATTTTGGTGGCAAGTCAGGCAAGTTTTAAGTCAAGGCATCCCACCTGATCACATGATTTTAGGACTCTTTTTACAATGGTCATTAAGTGGATCACATGGTCATTAGTTGAAATCAGAGTTGTTTAACAAATCATGAAACATTTTACAATGGCCAGAAGTGTGTTATGAGTGATAAAACAGTCTTTCCGAAGCTATTGTTAAGCCAAACTACTGCCTAAAGTCAAAAATTACCTATACAGGTAACCTTCAGCCTGTACAGATAGGCCTCAACTTACAACCATTTGTTCAGCAACCATTCAAAATGGGTGTTGGTAAATTTACCTGAGAACGTCCTTTCTATCTATGCTGCTAGAAAGCCCAGGATGGGTATGACTCCTCCTGATGACATCATTAAGCTGGGTCCGTCCAGTATAAAAGTACAGCCTATGGGAGAAACCCTCCCAGCTTGGGGAAGATACTTGACAGACTTTAGTGATTGTCTCTGAAAGCCAAAACAGAATCATGAACCATAACATACCTCACCACAATCTGGACGCAACAAGGGAGGGACTGGGCTCTTTAGCAGCATAGATAGAAAGGGCGTTCTCAGGTAAATTTACCAACGCCCGTTCTCCTCCATGCTGCTGTGAGAACTCAGGATGGGACATACCAAAGCCTTCATGTCCTCGGGAGGGCCCTCGTCCGGTCTCTCACTCCAAAGTAGGCACCACTCGCTGAAGAACCCATCTGCCAAAAGCTACGCTTGTGGAGGTGTAGGAATCCAGGCAGTAGTGTCTGACGAATGGAGACGGGGATGTCCATGTAGCCACTCTGCAAATCTCCTCTAGGGGTGCCTGGGTGGCCCAGGCAGCCGAAGTTGCAGCACTTCTAGTGGAGTGTGCTGTCAAGCCATTTGGTACTGGCAGAGCTTTGGCTTTGTAGGCCTGTGCGATGCAAGCCCTGATCCACCTGCTTAAGGTGGCAGGAGATGCCTTGTTCCCCTAGTGGGAAGGGGAAAAGGATACAAACATAGCCTCTGTCTTCCTAAATGTTGAAGTGCATTTGATATAAATTCTAAACACCCTTCTAACATCTAAGGTGTGCCACTTGTGCTCTAAGGCATTGTGTGGACGGGAACAAAAATCTGGAACTACTATATCTTGGGATCTGTGGAATCCAGAATTTATTTTGGGTAAAAAGGTAGGGTCTAAACGAAGAACAACTCTATTGTCGTGAAAAGGGCAGAGGTCCTGCCATATAGATAGAGAAGTCAACTCTTACACCCTTCTAGCTGAAGTGATGGCTATTAAGAAAACCACCTTGAAGGTCAAGAATTGAAGGGACGCCTTTCTGAGGGGTTCGAAGGGAGGTTCTGTTAGGGCCTGGAGGACCTTGTGAAGGTCCCAGGAAGGATGGGAACCTGTGAACCACAGGAGGGCAGAGACTGGAAGCCTCTTTTAAGAATCTCTGAACTGAAGGATGATGGGACAAGGAAGGAAAGGAATCCCAGGAGATGACTGAAGCAAGAGCCTCTACTTGATGGCGTAAAGTGTTAGGAGCCAGAACTTTGTCAAGGCCATCCTGGAAGAAATGGAGGACCTGTGGGACCCTACTCTAGGAGAGAGACCTTCCCTATGACACCAATGACAAAAAAACCTCCAGGTGGCATTGTACATACGCATCTTAGAAGATTTACGTGACGCCTAGATAGTAAGGATGACCTGGTCTGGGAGATTGGCTTCTCTTAACAGTTGCCGCTCAAGCGCCACACGGTCAATCTGAACCACTGGGGATTTGGGTGGAGCAGTGCCCCCTGATGTAATAAGATCATGTGGTCTGGAATCCTCCAGGGAGTGGCTACAGACAGGTTCACCAGATCTGCAAACCGGGGTCTCCTGGGCTAATGGGGGGCTAGGAGAATCAGCTCTGCCCGTTCCTCCAACATCTTCTGAATGACCGCCAGAATGATGGGAAGAGGGGGAAAGGCATAGAGGAGACCAGTGGGCCATCTGCCCCAAAGTGCATTGGTCCCCTCTGCTCCCTGACAAGGAAACCTGGTGAAAAATCTGTTTACCTGAGCGTTTTGGGGAGAGGCGAAGAGGTCTACCTCCAGGGTCCCGAATGGGAGAGATCTCTGAAAATGAACTGGGGAAGGGACCATTCTGCGTGATCGACTGGGCTCCTGCTCAGCCAAACTGCCTGGGAGTTGTCAACTCCTGAGATGTGGTCTGCTGTGATAGACAGCAGATGTCTCTCTGTCCACTTCCCCAACCTTTCGGCTTCCCTCATGAGGGCCCTAGACCTTGTGCCCCCCTGCCAGTTGACGTGTGCCTTTGCAGCCATGTTGTCTGTCAACACTAGCACATGGGGCCCCAGTATCCTGTCCCTGAAATGTTTTAGGGCTAGATAAATGGCTCTGAATTCTAGCCAGTTTATGTGCCCAGTCCTGTCTAACCGGGACCAGAGAGATCCCTTGAGCCATGAGACCCTCCATGTGGGCTCCCCAACCCAGGAGACTTGCATCGGTGATGATCAGTCTGTCCAGTTCCTTGAACAGGAGACTCTTCGAAAGGGCTGGGGAAAGCCACCACTTGAAGGAACAGCGGACCTCTGGAGAGAGCAGGACCTTGGCAGATGTGTGGCTGGTTCCTGCTCATTGAAAGGTGAGCAGGAACCATTGTAGAGCCCGTGAGTGTAGCCGTACCCACAGAACGATGCCTATGCATGAGATCATTTTGCCCAAAAGTTTGGATAACAGCGACAGGGAGACAGTGTGTTGACGCTGGACCTGTCGATTGATCTCGATAAGAGACTGCCCTCGAGCTGGAGACAGAAAAACTTGGCACAGAGTTGTGTTGATGATGGCTCCCAGATGGAGCAATCTGGTTATTGGGAAGAGATGGCTTTTCTTGGAGTTGATGGGAAAACCGTGGTGCTGAAGGCAATAGAGAGTGGTTTGAAGATCTTGATGGTCAGAGTGGGTGGAGGACGACAGGATCAAGATGTCATCCAAGTAGCATTGAATCCACACTGGAACAGACCAGAGCGAAGCCACCAATGCCGCCAGTAACTTTGTGAAGACTCTTGGGGCAGACGAGAGCCCGAAAGGAAGGGCCTGATACTGGAAGTGGGAATGCTGGTAACAGAAACGGAGAAACTGGTGATGATGAGGCCAGATGGGAATGTGGAGGTAAGCCTCCATGAGATCAATGGAAGAGAGACTGCCCTCCCGAACGCTCTTCAGAATAGAATGCAGTCTGCATTTTGAAGCGCCTATATGGGATCAACTCATTCAGAAATTTTAGGTTGAGAATGGCTCGCCACCCTCCCAGGCCTTAGGGACCATGAAAAGCTGAGAATAAAGCCCATGTCCACGTTGTAATTCAGGGACTGGTTGAATGGCCCTTATATCGACCAGGTGACTAATGGCCGATTCCATAAGTGCCCTTCATGAACTGTCCTGGGAAACAGGGCAGAATAGATATTTTTCTGGGGGTGGTGATAGAAATTCTAATTGTAACCCGGACCTTACTGTATTGAGTACCCAGGCGTCTGTTGTTGACTCCTCCCATCTGGAAGCAAAGGAGGCCAAACAACCTCCGATGGGAGGGGAGAATGAGAGATTTCGAGCGACAGAAGGAGCGACCCCCTCACCCACAAAAGGGCCATTTACCCACAGCTTGTTGTCTGCCGGTAGCCTCATGGCGTTAATCTTGACGCTGAGAATACGCTCTCTGAGGTCTGGAGAAGCGAGAAGCGTTTTCAGGCTTGAATGAGGGAGGCCGGTATGGGGTAGGGTGAAAGTCTGCCCTCTTTCCTGTTGATGAAAGGACTTTCCTTTTGTCTTTTGTTTCAACAATAAATGGGTCAAGGGCATCTCCAAACAGCTTCTCACTGGTACATGGGGCAGAAGCTAGTTTCCACTTCTGTCGAGGCTCTGCTTGCCAATTTCATAGCCGTAGCAGACTCCTAGCTGCCACTGATGACGCTATGGTCCTGGAAGAGAACTTGGCGGCGTCAAGGGTGGCGTCCTCCGAGAACTCTGCTGCTGCTATGATCTTATTGAGGTCTTCATGCGACCTACAGTCTGAAGGAGGTATGTGGCCTTGAAGTTGGTGTAGCCAGCAGATGGAAGACCTTGTAAAAAATAATGTAGCAGTCGAGGCCCAGATGGCCCAAGTCTAGGCTTGATGATTATGTTTCAGTGTTTGTTCAGAACATTGTCCTCTGCCTTTAGTACATCCTCAGGCTCAGTTGGAGTGCTTGAGAAAGAGGCCACAACTGGGGCATCTACTGGAGGAACTGCCTAAGCTGTAGCTAAGGAAGGACCCATGTTGTAGAACCGCCTATCTTGGGAAGATGGGCGGGGGCCTGCAGTGGGGAAGGCAAATTGTTCCTTGACTAAGTCAAGAAAGTTGATGGAGGAAGGACGGACCTCCGAATGAACAATGGGTTTGGAGAAGAGGGAATCCCCATGCCCCGATTGTACCTCTTGAGGCTCGGGGGCAATTTCCTCCACTGACAACTGGGCTGTTACCAGTGCCTTGTGTAGGAGAGGTTTGAATAAAGCATATTTGAATACAGAAGCTGAAGGAGCCTGATCAGACCTCAGATCTTCCTCTTCCTCCGAGAGGTTAGGATCCCAGATTTCTCCCAGGGGAGGGGCTGCACTCAGATGATTATCCCTCATACTCTCCCTGAATGAGGTCCACTCCTTCCGCATAGGTAAGATGGGCTCTTTGTTCTACCTGGCGAGGCAGTCCCCTTTGGGGAATCTGAGCTAGAGGAAAAGCTGGGAAGGAAGGCTGAGGTCTGTCTGAAGGCCTGAAGATGTGTTGAAGCCCTTCTGCCAGACCCTGTCTGATGGCTAAGGAGACTATTTCGTTGATGTCAGAAGATCTGCCACTCAATGGAGGATCTGGGGGCTGAAGACCTGCTGCTGTTGGAGTAAAAGTGGCCTCTGGTCTTGATCGAGATGGGCCACGGATGGGATAGATGAAGAAGAAAGATCCAAGGAGTCTGGGCGAAGTAGGGACCTGACCTGATCAAGTCTTGAGGTCCTGGTTGGATTTCAGGTCGCTCTAGGGACCAGGATTGGAGGTGGCTAAGAGGAGCTGAGGTATTTTCCCTTGCCCTAGAAGTCGCTGGCTGAACTGTTGTAGTTGACCATCATTTGTTCAATAGTTTTGTTGAACTGCCTTTCTAAGGCTGCATGCCTTCGTTTCTCTGCCTTCAATTCGGCCTGTGATGTTTTCTTTCTTAGCTTTGGCCCTAATCTTGGCTGCCACCTCCCTTTGAACAGACTGGGAGCGTTGTCTCCTTCTCTTTCTTTTTCCGGCTTGGGGACCTTGAGAGATCAGGCCTGAAGGCTGTGTGTGGACCTTGTCTTGATCCATAGTATGCATAAACAGACACAAAGGTGCTGGAAGCGATCCACACTATGTGTTGTCTATGCAGTAGCCTGAATAGGAGCTTATGAATGGTAGAAGCTGGCCTTTGGGGGATGATGCCATCTAAAATGGCCGCTTATGACTTTCTTTAGAAGAAGAGGCTTTCAAAATGGCCGCTCACCACGTGAGGTTGAAGAAGAAGCCTCCAAATTGGCCACTCGCAAGAGCTACAGGCTACGCAGGGGTTAAATCATTCCTTAGGCTGTAAACAGCCCCGAATGGCGAAATCGGCAATAAAGTGAAAACTGCAATTTTAATGATCAGCTGAGAGGCGCTGTTATCGCCGATGCGATCTTTACAATCGTAGCGGCCAAAATCGCTGAGGGAATCTGTGAGGGAGGATCAAGGGTTGCTCCCTACTTACAGTCTCCCTCTGTTGAAGAAACGTTGAATCCTTGGCGTTGCAAGAGAGTGCAGCCCCACTCTCCTGAAGGCACAGCTACACCAGAACTATGCGAATGATATAAAATAGCTTTGGCTTTTGCTGCTAATTAAACTGCTTTCAGAGACACCAGCTTAGTCATTGAAAGAAGCTGAGTCAAAGCTGGAGGGTTTCTCCCACAGGCTGCTACTTTTATACTGGACGGATCCAGCTTGATGATGTCATCAGGAGGAGTCATACCCATCCTGGGCTCTCGTAGCAGCATGGAGGAAAATTACAATGTGTCAGCCCACATTCTAGTCTCTGTGTAAAAAGATATACTATGGAAGTACTAACAACAAAAAATATTTACCTTTTTACCATAGCAGGATTGTAAAGATATATCTTCATGAACTGCCTTTCTTTTTCATGATATCCATAAAAAGGCCTGGAAAACAAAAATTCAGTATGATATTATATTCTGGTTTGTCTTGCTCTAAATAATCACTTTGATGAAGTGGATCCACATATGCCTTAAATAACTATCAGCAAGCAATAGGAACCTTGCCCATCACAGCCCAATCTGGAATTAAGATTCACCTGTATATATTATTTATAGGAGAGTTTTCTTTAGTGCAAATCAGATATGAAGTAACATAGAATGAAAGATCAATTATTATTCCATTTGTCAGAAAACAGTTTGAGTGTATACTAATCATCTTTCAATCTGAAGCGAGCACTGCTAATTGATGATCTGGAATAAAGCTTTTTATAGTGCTGCACAAGTGAGAAGACATCATTCCGACACTCAGATTATGATCTCTGTACCCTTTGAAACTCCAAGTTTGAGAGAGAACATGGATTAGTTGGCTATACACAGCTGTGCTAATGGCCCACCCCAAAGTCTTTATTTTGGAACACTGTGGCAGCTAGATCAGCACACTTTTTTTTACTGCCTTTCCCAAAATACAGATGACAGAACACTTTTTTGCTTATCATGCAGCTAAGGGCAATTACATAGTAGCTCAGATAACAAAGTAGGGAATGGCAACCACAATTTTTTTACTTGAATTCCAAATTATAAATTAAGGCTTTTAGAATAAATCTTCCAAAGATTATTCCAAAGATTATTCACATGCAAATAAAACAATTGAAACAAATGATCAAATATGGCACATTATGGGAATGCCATAAATGACAGTCCTGCTAATTCTTACATTTGAAGCAACTTGAAATTTCTACCCAGGTTATCCTGCCCTACAAAAGAAATATTTCTAGTTTTAATATTGATGTTTCATAAATGTATAAATTTAATAATATTCTTCCAAAGTTAACCCACCTGAACTGTTCATCAACTGAGAACAGAAATCAACGTATCTTCTACACCAACTATGGAAATGTGGAAGTATAAAGTACATTTTCATCTAAGAGTTAAGAAATCTTTAACTATAATTTTAGAACCATTATTAAGCTACATGGAAAGGCTAAGGAACATGGTTTATTTCTTCTTTAAGAGATATGAGATATCTTTACTAATATAAAGGCTGAGCTCTTGAGAAGGGAAAAGGTTGTAATTTCAGCTACCTTTAACACTGGCAAGAAACACTAAACAAAATCACATCACTGATCCTTCAATAATATCTTGGCTGAAACAGATGAAAAATATTTGTTCTACTAATTCCCATATTAAATCGGTTTTTCAATTTCTTTCAGTTGCTCAGCTGCTAATCCCTAACTGACCTTGTCTGGACTTAAAAGCTAAGCAGGAATATAAGAACTGTTAGTTACATCAGGAACTGAAGAACAACTTAGAAGAAGGCAATGACAAGTTACAATATTTCTATAATATTGCAAAACTGAAATCCATAAAATCAGCAGGCATGAGGGGCTCAAATTCAGGAAAGGTTATTTTTCTTCAATTGTGCAGTTCTTACACACTGGTATCATAAGAAACACACGAGAAAGGAGCTACACAATCAGTTTTAAACATACAGCAGAAAATAATACAGCATAATTCACAGAGCACAAAAAATAGTAAAATGCAGACTTTATGGCTATTGGTCTATAGCATAGCAGCATAGTATATATATATCAGTATTTGGCAACCTGCAGGCAATAACAATAAAAGTAATGCAGCTTTTATATTTTGTACGTAGTATGAAACATCAGTAGGGACGTGCAGATTCCACATATTAAATGTTCAAACAAAACCAAAAAGATCTTTGCACTTTGACTTACAACATGAAATTTAATTAATTACCAACACTGCTGTAATGCATATTGGCTACAATAGCAACCTTTACATCTGCATAACCACACTCAACACAAAACAACCCATAATGAACTTCTCTTGGTCGAAGAAGTTGTAAACAATAAGTTTATTCAATGGCTCAATTGTTTATAAACTGATATTGTCTCTTATCCTTTTATTGAACTTATTGAATGATTGTTTTGTATACCATCCAATCATCCTATGTGAAATGGATACCTGTATAAATTCAATCAATCAATCAACCAATCAATCAAATAAATCTATCCAATAAAGAAAAGTTTAGAGTGGTCTTTACCAGAATTTGGTTATGGGATCATTTAGTACCCCAGTGTCTTATCCATGCCAGTTGATGACTAGGACCAGCAAACAGTCTATATCTAACAATATGATTAAAAAAAACTCTGCTTCTTCTACCTCATGCCCTCCCATGCCCTCTTTCTCTACTAGTCTTGACCCATGATCCATGACTCTTTAGCCAATTTTGTTAGGGAGATAAAAAACGGAGTTGGTTCATTGTGAAAATTAAAAGGCAGGTATGGTACAGTAAACAATACCAGTTTAAATGTTATGAGGAGAATGGGAGTCTGTTCTGTGTATTCAGATACAAATAACAGACAACCCATGACTCACTGAGACATGCTTTCAAAAATATTTTCTTATCTAGTAACAAAATGACCACAAGAGGGCAAAAACTTAGTGGGAGCTATTTCTGGCTTCATCCATTGACTTTATTGGTGTGAAGCTAGCAGGCAAGTGTGAGAAATCACAATCTGATTGTGATTGTGGAGGTACAACAGATAGTACTATAGCAGCCACAATTTTGCCATTATGAAAGGTCTGGAGATTCCTGAAATTTCAATCTGATGAGAACAATTGTGGGTGCATTCTTTATTTTAGTCCATTTGAGGTACCTCAATTCAAAAATTGTTGCCCTACGATGCACCATTTTGCCCAACTGAAAGTTACATACAAACAGACAAAAGAATTTTAGTAGTATATAGATTAACCCTTTGAAGATTCTCAAAAATAATTTTATTATTTAACTATGTTTAAAAAATAAATCAATACTTACATTCCATATACTAGTGACACCTTAAACACATGCTGAACAGAAGAAGATGGATTTCCTAAAGTGACATTGAGTGCCCGGTCAATGCTGAATGCCAAGCTACGCAGATAATGATCTGGCAAATGTCCATAACCATCGTATGGCACATACAAGTAAGGGAAAATACCATGTAAATGGAGACAAGTCTTCTGACCTGAAGAAGAAACAAATTGTTCAGAATAATTCTGAAAATTCAGGAAATCATAATTTTCGAATAAGTGCTAAAAGGTGTGAAATATACACATATAAATATACTATTTATTTATGCTACATTACAGACTGCAAATGATTCCGAACAGGTACTTAAGACTTTATACAAGAACCGTAGTTTTGCCAATGTACGTGATATATTGAAACAGTTTAAAATCAGATTTAAAGCAACAATTATGTTAAATTATTTAGTTTATTAAATAATGAAAGTATACAGATTCTTCAAACAGCATGTGTAAATATATTTTGTTTATATATGGTATTTGCATGTCCCCTATTCCCATAGGTTTTGGGTAAGTAATAAATGTAAAGATACAATACCTTCCCAAACCACCACACACATATACACACACACACACACACACACACACACACACACACACACACACACGGAGGGAGAGAGGGAGATCCAATAACAAATATATTGTTGACTACTGGTATATTATTACGAACGAGGAACTTTATTTTTAAAACATTTCTAACAATAAAAATATACAATAATTAATCTGAACAGATCAACCCAGTAGGTCAATATTTTAACACTGTAGCAAAAATTTATCAAATATTATCAAGATAGATTTGGTATGATCTTATGATTTATTGCAAAATAAACTAAGTAAACTATAGTTATCTCGTTAAAATGTTTTTTTAGTGATGATATTAGGTTATACAATTATTGACTGATAATATGAGCTATTATGTAATATAATTATATTAGTGACTAGGAAATGGATGCACAAAAAAAAGTGGTAAACCAATTGATGCACTGTTTGTATATTTATGAAGAAGGATGATATTTTTATGTTTTATGTGGTATGTCTGTGTTTGTTGTTTTGTTGTTAAAATAAAAACTTTTTAAAAAAATTTATCAAAACAAATAATGGTTTTTTATGCCAAATGGAAAAAATATTACTGTTATAAGAAATCAGCATAGAAGCTTTAAATCAGTACTGTGATATGAAATTAAAAATCTGAATTTTGCATTAATCTTTGCAAAAAATAAGATTTTGTGGGGTTTTACAGTTTTTAACTCTTTTTACTATTATGTGTACAACCTAAGTAAAACTTAAGTTCCTGTCACAATACAATTTCAATTAAACAGACCACCTGGAAGAAATAATGTATATTAAACTGATGCTTTGCAGATGCTTATTAAATGTAAATTCATGTAATTTACTTACAATATATGTGATTTATATAACTACACATTATGCATAATCATACAAAAGTTACAAAGTGTCAAGACCACTTCATCTGCCATTTTCACTATTTGGGGATTAACTTCAAATCATATTTTACCACTTGCATCCAAAGTCCACTGAACAAAAGTCTATAAAACTGAAGTTTTATTGAATTACATCCAATTATTAACAGAGCATATGCAATCTGTTAGTATTCGATACACAGAAATATCACTTAGGATGCTTTTACTTCGGGAAACTATTGTATTTCCTGTCCTTTCTTCCACAGATAAAATTGTCAGGGTTAGGGTTGCATTAAAATATTCACCCTGTACACAATTTACAAATCAGTATTATTAAAACACTAAAATAACACAATAGCCTGATATTATCATTACTGAAATTTAATTAACTCAGAATATAATAACTGAAAATCAGATTAAAATTTTATAAAAAGAAACAAGGACCACACGTATCCACTCTTAAGACAATCATAAATAGGTAGGAAGGATTTAAATCAGGAGTCCCCAACACCTGGGCTTCTGCCGGGCTATGAGTTATTCAAAACCAAGCTGCCTGAAGCAGCGGGTGAATGTGCGTGCGCGCATATCCCCACTTGCATGATGTTGTAGTCTGCCGGTGGCCTGCAGAGCTGGCAGCAGAGTCAGACAGTGTGGAGGAACATGGGCTAGTCCTGGAGTCTGGGGAGGACTCAGATGAGGGATATGCATCTAACACAGAGATGGGGCCAGAGCCATCTGAGAGTTATGTGCTGACTCCAGAGCCTCCGGAATCTGACATCAGCAAGGCAGAGGAACAAAGAGAGCCTGTTCCTAGTGCACGCTTGCACAGAGCTGTCAGAAGGCAGGAACAGTTAAGATAAATGGGGAGACTCGGGAGTAAGGCTTGGAGATGATTGGCCACTCTCATAAGACATAAAGGAGGAGCAAAGGGACATGAGCCTTTGCAGGAAGCAACTTTGTTGTTTGTTCTGATCAGTTTAAACTCTGAAGCTCTGTGTTGACTTTGTGTTCCGTTTGGCCTTGTACAGCTAATTGGCAATTTAGTCATTGGCAGTATTTCAAGGAAGATAAAGGTGGGTCTTATCAGCCTTATTCCGAAAAGACTGTGGTAGACTTCTGTTGGACTATTCACAAATTGTTTGGGACTCATTACAGGGTGTGAATGAATATAATTCACAACCATTGAAATAAAAAGAGGGTTTTAGGGACTAAGCATGATTATTACTGTTTCAGGAAGCCTTGGTCAAAACACATGAGCAGCAAATGGAGCAGTGCATGCTTGCCTGCCCCTCGTGTGGAACCATCCCTTCTCCCCCCTCCCGCTGGTCCACAAAGCAAGAAAGGTTGGGGAACTCTGCCTTAAATGTAACAATGAAATATCAAACAAATATAAACAGATTTGTTATACTAAATCTATTATAGGAAAATTAAAATAAATATCAGTTAATTTGGGGGGAAGTCATAAAAAGAATTTATATAGAATATGACTAAAATTGAGCCTTCTTTAATTTGATGCTTAAAGATACATTGGATTTTAATCCTATAATTCTAGGTTGTCAAATATTGCCTTACTTCATGAATAAAAAGTGTGTGTTTATGGCCAGTTTACCTGTGTAGAAGGATCAGCACTTTAGAATTAATAGACACCAACTCATCGTGCATAATGGATAAAGTAGGACTGGCATTTTGCATAGCCATGTGCATTTGTGATATGGCCTACCCTAATAAAAACTTCATTTTATCTCTTAATCATAAGAAGGTAATTTGCTAAGCATCTTGATGCTGACTGAATTCAAACATTGCAAAAGCATGGTTTTGTTTGTTTCTGACATAACAAGCTGTGGAAAAAGTGCCGCTGTGGTTGATAAACCATCAGGAGATACAACAATGGATGTTGGTCTGATGTGTTCAATAAAGATCTGATATAATATGCCCATTTGTGCACCATTTAATTAGAATCTTCTTACTTATATGATTCAGGTAAAACACTAATCAAAGAAAACAGGATTATGGGTAATTTTAAAGGGTTTATAACATTTCTCTAACTACTGTAAGTATAAGCTTGATTTTCCTGTTTTAATATTCAATTTATACAAATATTTTACTATTAAATTTGCTAATTTCTGCTTTGGGTCATTTTATGGGAAAGCTGTGTACTTTACAGTCCCTGGGCAGTTCATTTCTGACCAAAAGGAATTAAACTTTTAGGACAATTGGAATGAATATATGTCCTGGTACAAGTGAAAAGCTAGGATTTTTTTTAAGGTCTACTCTACAATTGCTGTGCTGATAAACAATCTTTTCTTTATGTTATTAGATTCTCAGTGCCAGTGGGCAAAGATAACTATGAATTATAAATCAATGATCTGGACCCAATTAAAAGTACCTGGTGCTAACCTATGTACCTGGTGCTAACCTCTTATACAGCTTGGCTCCAATCTGTCTTGAGGGTAATCCCTCTTGAGCAGAATCTGCCTGTGCTATACAATCATAAAAAAATGCTTAGATCCTAAACTCATAAAAAATTAAGGGAAATGGGTCCAAGTGGCATCTATTTTCAGTGATGGTACCAACATTTGTCTATCACATATGGGTTATGCTGGTATTCCTGAAAGCATTAAAGAGTAGTATTGTATTGCAGTTTTAGGCAATAACAAAAATATTCAATGATCCAATGCATCAGTTTGGTAAAAATAATAATGTACATTAGTTGCTTGTACCTGTAATTGCAACTCATCTACAGATAGTCCTCCCTTAACAACCACTTGTTTAGCAATGATTTGAAGTTATGACAGCACTTACAACTGACCCTCATAGATGCAGCTATTGCAGCATCCCGCAAAGAGCCATGGTGGCGCAGTGGTTAGAATGAAGTACTGCAGGCTACTTCTACTGACTGCCAGCTGACTGCAATTTGGCAGATCAAATCTCACCAGGCTCAAGGTTGACTCAGCCTTCCATCCTTCCAAGGTCGGTAAGATGAGGACCCAGATTGTTGTGGGCAACAATGCTGACTCTGTAAACCACTTAGAGGGCTGTAAAAAGCACTGTGAAGTGGTATATAAGTCTAAGTGCTATTGCTATCCTCACAGTCACGATTGGAATCCCAGCTTGCAATGATGATAGTTGCGGCCTCCTGCAGTCATGTGGTTGCCCTCTGCAAGGTTCAACAATAAACAGTAATTTGGCTACATTTTGCTCAATCTGGGGAAAAAATTACTGACAATAAGCTCCTCTTTACTAAAATAGACCATTTCCAATTTAGATGAAACATCTATGTGATTATTGTGTAAATATTTTAAAAGTGACAAAACTAGATCTGAATAGATTTAAATATTAAGATATGTAAGGTCAGGTTGCTTACTTTAAACCAAATAGTACTGCATTTCTCGTGTTATCTGTTTCCTAATATCAAGGGATCGTTCTTTCCCATGAGCAAACAATTATTGAGTGTATTCCAAAGGGAAGATTCTAGTAAATACTGATAATTTTGATTCTCCTCTAGACTGAAATTCAAAAGCACTTCATATGTGCACAATGATAATGTAGTGAGAATCTCTAAATCTTTTGTTCTAAAGCACTCATATAACTAAGCAAGAAAAGTAAAATTAACATTAGGAAATTTGCAATAAATTTCAAAAAAGCATCTTAATCAAAGAATTCCATCTGAAATACTTAAAACAGCTGGTTGAGCTTCTAAATCTAAAACAAGATATAAGAATGAAAAAGCTTGTTGGAAT